TGCAGAACGATGAGCTGCTGGACGTTTTTAGTGGCCTTCAGCCTGCTTGGTGAGTCCAGCATGAAAATGCAGTGAGCTTACAGCCAGAACCAACCAGAAGGGACTCGAATCGGGTTCATGCTGGTTGAAGTAGCTCAAAGAACCACAAAATGAGAAATGACTGAAACCAAGTCAGCTTAAAACCAAAGGAAATAATAAAAAAACATTTATATTCAGTTCAGTTCAAAACTCCTGCAGGTGAATCAGTGAAATGTTTTTGTGATTCAGATCCTCCAAGTACCTTCAAATAGTCGAGTGCAGTAGCAGTCAGTCTTGCAGCGTTTCTGAAGAGGCCTCTGACTGAAGACTGGTATTAACAATCTCATGAATATCATGACATGCTAACAGCTCAATATCTGATATTTGACAGTAACAAGTCCTGGATGACATCATCAGTTGCTAGCTAGCTGTGCTAATCCGCCTCCTTTGCTTTTGCTGCTGCTCTTTAAATCTGTCAGGCTGTTTGGTTGAACTTTGAACTCTTTCCTTCTCCCCTCTGCATCCATGAAGCCTCTGGGACTTGGGGTCAAAGTTCAGGTGTCCTTTGAGCTTCTGAGATGCTAATCACCTGCTCTGTTGGAAAAACAATATTCTGTTACATAATATAGCAACTGGAAACATCCCAGCTGCCCAGCATCCAGAGCCAGAGGGAGAAACTGTCCAAATGGAAACGATGCGTCCAGAGAGATGATGAACTAAAGAACAGAAGAAGAAGAAATCAGAATCAACAGAAACATCTGCAGCTCAAATTGTTACTTTAAAACTTAAATCCTGATTGGGTCTCAGATCAGAATCCATGTCTGAATTCCTGGACGGCAACAAAAAAGCACCAAAATCATTGAATTGATGAAGACAAAGTTCCTCAGAGGAAGAGATTTCCATATTTCTTCCTTCAAAGATGAAAAGCACAAAACATTTCTGGTTTCATTTCTTAACATCTGATCCCAGACTGATCGATAATGTTTGTGTCTACTGGTCGGCTCTCCGCTGCAGTGCCCTGGAGCCATGCAGGCTGTGCGGAGGTGGACTCCATGACCGAAGCCGTGGCGGGAGAAGGATTCCTGCTCGGCTGCATTTCCTGTAAAAAAGAGAGGAAGTGTCGGCCCGAGCCACGGTGGACTGGCACTTCAAACGGCCCGAGGACCACGAGTTTACACCTGTGAGTCCCAACTATCAGGAAATCAGAAACTGCTTTCAAATAATAATGAAAAATCAAAGAAACAAAATGAAGGTCATGAGCAGCCTGTGTGTCTGGGAGGAGGTGACAGAAGGGCCTGATCAGCCAATCAGAGCAGAGACAACATGATTATATGTATCTTTGTCTTTTTTTAGCCATAATATTATTTGTCAAAACAAATCATTCAACAGACAAAACAGCAACTTTGAATTGAAACTTTATCAGATTATTTTATTATTTCACAACCATTAAACATTTTTTACCTAAAAGGGAATTAAAACGCTCCAGAGACATTAATGTGATACTGTTTAAACCTCAATAAAATATAGTTTATTTTATCAGTTATATAATTTAAAATGAGGTAAATTACACTTGAGTTACTTTCATTTATCCTCATTTCCATGGCTTGTCTGGTGAGTGGGAGTGTTTCTGGTAATGAGTGGGTCAGGGGGTTCTGAGACATTTTAACAGCAAAACATTTTCAATTAATAATCCAGTGGCTCCATCAGCTGATTCATCCCTACGTTGTCGTCCTTCCACCAGATCTTCCACTATAAACACCCCAACGCAAACGTGCTCCATGAAGACTTCAGTGACCGGCTGCAGTGGCAGGGAACGCTGAACGACGACGTCCAGATCGGCGCCGTTTTCATCCAGAACGTCACCTTCAACGACAGCGGGACGTACCGCTGCACCTTCCGCCGCACCCTCTTCCTGCCGCTGCAGCCCGAGAACGTGGTGGTGGAGAAGGAGGTGGAGCTCACCGTGGTGGCCACAGGTGAGCAGGCTCTGGGGGCGGGGCCGGGCCTGTCCAGCATTCTGACGCGTGATTGGCTGGTTTCCTGCAGCCAACCGGGAGCTGACGGCGGTGATCTCTGAGATCGTGATGTACGTCCTGATCGTGGTTCTGCAGCTGTGGCTCATCCTGGTCATGGTCTACTGCTACAAGAAGATCTGGGACGAACACGAAGCGCGAGAGGCGAAGAAAGCGCTGGAAGCGGAGGGATCGTGAGTCTCCACTTCCTGTTTCTCTGTTTCCCGCCTGCTGATTCTCACACCTCTCTTCTGATGTTTCCAGACTGCTGGAGTCCAAGGATCACTGTGACGGCGTGGAGGCGGAGTAACGCCAGGGAGCGTTAGCACGCTCAGCTGGAGCTGCAGCAAGGCTCATAAAAATATGTTTGTGAGGATGATTGACAGCGCTAAGCCCCGCCTCCTGGCTCTGACTGGTTGTTTTGGGGAGCAGAGCATCTTTTCAGACAGCAGATGGATCTTTTCACAGATTGTTTCTCTCACAACAAAATGTAATGGTAACAGGTTTGATAAATATGTAAAAACATATTTTTCATAAATGTTACTCATATCAGTTTTAAGAAGTGGATCAACATCCAGAGAGACGGATGACAGATTTACCTGAGGAGTTCATCATCTCATCTGAACTGATGTGAAAACTTGTGCCGATATTAATATCCGATATAACTACAGATAACCGATATTTATCGATATTGTATGTTAGATTTATTTCCAGGTGTCTCACTGCATGTCTTCCTGTCTCCTCTCTGTTGGACTTTGATTTTATTTTGATCATTTTCTTCCATCTTGAGTTTATTTAATTGTTCCTGATCTGTTTTGATTTCAGTTGGTTCATTTATTCTCGTCTGTTGCATCCAGTAATTATGATCCCAGTAGATTTATGTTCCAGTCACTTTGTCAGTTCCTCCTGTTTTCTTCTTGCTCGTTTTTTGTTCTGTTTCTTCCATTAAATTTTCCTTTTCATCATTTTTCCTCCAGGTTATTAAACACAAGTTAATTTTAAATTCATGGTGAAAAAAGATGGGCACACATCCATTGATTTATACTAAAGTTCATGATGTTGCAGCTATATTTGTTTTGACTAAAAACAGGAAGTGTTTTTAAACTAAGTCTGACATTGATCCAGTTTTTATTGCTGAGAAAAGACGATTAAAAAATTAGCCTGTCATTTAGGAAAGCATACTCGCTAAACCTTTGAATTTTTGGGTAAACGCATCCCGTTTACTACAAAGAAAATAAAATTAAATAGTTCATGCTCAGTTTATTGTTGATCAGATGAGAAAATGCATCATTTTTAGTGATTCAATTAACATTTTTTGAGTGTGTGATTTTGGCCCACTCCTCAGCCCATGATGCTGCCACCGCCGTGCCTCAGCAGTATAACTGAACCTCATGAATCAGGTTTTTATTTAACATCCGTCAGAAATGTTTGATCAACTGGACCTTTTCTATTTCCCTTTGCAAGCATCAGGCCTTCCTGTAGCATTTCAAATGGATCTTCTTCAGTGGCTCTCTGGGCTTTCTGGAGGTCAAGCCAAGGTCATCTTTGGAGAGGAAACGTTCAGAAAACCTGGAGAATTTAAAGTTTGTCTCCTTGGAAAGACAAAGTGCAGAACCGAGAACTGGACCAGAACTTTACCAGAATCATCTGCCACCACGAAGGAAGACTCACCGAACAGATTCATGTTTACATCAGTGGAAGATGACGTTTAAAAAAAGAAGCAGCTCCATGAATAATCTGAATATTTCAGCCGACACTCAGAGGACGTTTGGAGGTGGATCTGCTGTAACTTAATCTCTGCAGGTTTTCAGTCTGAGAGCAGCTTTGTTCTCTGGCAGCAGATCAGCGTCACACCGACCCAGTCAGACCAGTAAGAGCCAAACAGAACCACTGCACGGAACAGAACCTTAGCTTTCTGATCCAGATTCACGCAGATCCACCAGAACCAACCGGCCCGACCCGTGGTTCTTCTCCCGAGCGGCTGTAGGAGCCTCCGCAGGGATCCGTTAACCTTTCCCTGCGACCTCTGGTTTCATTAGACGTGTTGACGTGTGGCCTCCAGGTGGAGCGTGACCTCGACGGGCGGCAGGGTTCAGAGCAGAGCTGCTTCCTGCCGCAGAGCTGCTTCCTGCCGCAGAGCTGGAGATGTTCCTGAAGCTCAGCTGCACCAGGTAGGTCAAACCGAGGCTTTACAATGGATCTGATCATCCTTCAAATCAGACAAACTGGCTCTGAAAAGATCAGATAAAGAAGTCCAGGATTAAAACCTGAAGTTTGTTGGATAGATAAAGTCCTGTGAGGTCTGATTAATGTTAAATATTCTTCATTATGAGGGTTTTTAAAGATAAAAAGATGTATTTTGCTGACATAAAAGCTAAATATAAAGTCACATTGAAGTTGGATTATTTCAGGAGTTAAGTTTATTCTCATGAAGGCTTTTCTAAATTAATATGATCAGATTCATCCTCCAGTGAAACCCAAATACATTTGGAAATGTTTAAAATGCTTTAAATATTCGAAATTCCTGCATATCATTATTGTTTATATGTTTCCATACGTTTTCTATTGCAAGAGAAAACTTATGGAAACATATAAACATTTTACTTTTCTAGAAATGAAACTGATAAGATTAATATTTATATAATATTTTGCTATTTATGTGCAAATAAAACCAAAATATTTCTAGAACAGAATCAAAATATACTTTATTGGTTTTCAAGGGTAAAATATTTCTCATCAAGCTAAACATCCAAAGCAAATATAGCAAATATAAATATAAAATGTATAAATATATATATATACATAATTTAAATGTGAACTGTATATAAAATAAACATAAAAACAGCTTCAGTAGGTTTTGTTTCCGTTCAGCTTGCAGTGCACCGAGTGGCCAGCAGAGGGCAGTGATGCTCCGCTTCAACAGCACCGAGCTGCAGTCTCTCCTGCTCCGTCCTGCAGCACTGCCTCAACAGCAGCGGCCTCCAGCCGCCCGGAACCACACTACCCATGATGCTTTGCAGCAAGCGGCGGCCTCCGCCAGCGGCCGCGATCAGCCGGAGGAGCTGATGTTCATACTGCTGGTGGTCGGCCTCTTCAGCTTCTTCACCTTCGGCATCATGCTGAGCTACATCCGCTCCAGGAAGCTGGAGAGCTCCCAGGACCCGTACCACCAGTACATCGCCCACGACTGGAGTACCGTGGCGGGGCCGCCCAGGGCCGTGGCCGAGGCGCTGCAGCGGGGGGCCCAGGGCCCGGTGGTCCTCTGCAACCCTGTGGCCGTGCAGCCGCTGCCGGAGTAAACCGGCGACGATTCTCCAGGCCTGGAGGATCATCTGAGGTTATCTGCTAACACAGCCACCCTGCCGCCACCGGACAGTAAAAACAGGCCCTCAGCATGATGGTGCCACCACCATGTTGACACTGTATGTCAAAAAGTGAGATACTCGGGAGATTTTAAATAAATAATCTTTAATGTCTCATAGCAACCAAACATTAGTGTTTGCTCTGTTTTTTTCCATCTGGTTTCTTCTCACCTCATTCGCTACGTTTACAAGTTTCACTCAAATTATGAGTGAACTTTTAAAAAGCTGCAGAGAAACATAAAAGGGAATTCTGCAAGTTTCCATCTACTGGTCTGGAGCGAATCAACCAGGCTATGAAAAGTGTCACTTATTCAGCTGTTGATGTTTCACATGGCTGAAATAAGCAGGAAGTAGAGGAAAACCACGCTGAAGATCGGGACCGTTTCCTCTGGAGAGGTACAAACCCACCAGTGGTTCATCTGTGCCTTACCAGAGGCACAAAACATGGGGGAAAATCCAGATTCTATCCATTTTATTTAAAATGTGTAGTTTATGTTATTTAGCAACCTCTACTTTCTGTTTGCTTCAGCCAAGCGTGACGTCAACATGCGACGAAGTGACGAGTTGATTCACTCTAAACCAGTCGGTGGAAACGCGGCTAATTCACTTTTTGTTCTTTGTTGCAACTCTAAACTTTAAAAGTTTGCTCTAAGTTCCTCGGATGGAAACAAAGCTGCTGACAACCCAACGTTTGGTACCGGAGAGTCGCTCAGTCTCTCTGGCACCAGACGTACCAGAGAGACTACGTTTGTCTGTGCAACGCAGCATCAGAACGGATCAAATGAATGACCATCACATGAATGATCATCACATTAATGATCATCACATTAATGATCATCACATGAATGATCATCACATGAATGATCATCACATTAATGATCATCACATTAATGATCATCACATGAATGATCATTACATTAATGATCATCACATTAATGATCATCACATGAATAATCATCACATGAATAATCATCACATTAATGATCATCACATTAATGATCATCACATGAATAATCATCACATGAATAATCATCACATTAATGATCATCACATTAATGATCATCACATTAATGATCATCACATGAATGATCATCACATTAATGATCATCACATGAATAATCATCACATGAATAATCATCACATTAATGATCATCACATTAATGATCATCACATTAATGATCATCACATTAATGATCATCACATTAATGATCATCACATGAATGATCATCACATTAATGATCATCACATTAATGATCATCACATGAATGATCATTACATTAATGATCATCACATTAATGATCATCACATGAATAATCATCACATGAATAATCATCACATTAATGATCATCACATTAATGATCATCACATTAATGATCATCACATCAATGATCATCACATTAATGATCATCACATCAATGATCATCACATTAATGATCATCACATTAATGATCATCACATTAATGATCATCACATTAACTCAGTAAGAGTTTTCCATACAGGAACAATACAAACATCCTGGTTGATGGTAAAATGATTTTTTGTTTCTCTCTCGTTTTAGTTTTTAAAGGTGAATAAAGCGGCGGCTGGTTGGAGACTTTTGCCCGTTGCTATGCGGGTTTAGTATCCAAGCAGACTCTGCATCCAGGCCAGCAGCCCTCGCCTCTGAGCTGGAGTCCTGCCTGCAGAGTTAGCTCTCTTCTTCTCCTCCTTCCGCCGTTCCCTCTCTTCCTGCCGGACCTGCAGAAGCTCCGCCCTCTGTTGCTCGGCAAGCCTTTGGGCCCGCGCCACCTCCCGGGTCAGGCTGAAGTGGACCATCTGCATGCCCAGCATGGGGACCATCAGGTTGTAGTCGTCCACCATCTTGTTGAGCTTCGCCAGCTCCTCCTCCACGTCGCCACAGAGCCGCTCCCAGTGGCGCTGCTCGGCCGGGGTCACGGGGTCGCCGAGCCGCGCCCGGCCCTCCAGCAGTCGGCTCCGGACCCGGGCGGCGCCCTCGCGGATGTCGCGCTGCGTCACCACCCAGGGCGGCTGGTAGCCGTTGTCGATGAGGATGCGGTTGAGGTTGTGGGTCATGGGGTCAGCGTAGGGGTTGTGCTGGAACTTGTTGAGCGGCTTCCCGGCGCCGCTCAGGTTCCGGAAGTCTCCGCGGGCCATGGACTCCTGGATCAGGTCCTCCACCAGCCGCTCCACCGCCTGCGTGATCTTGATCTTGCGGCTGCGCTGACGGGCGTCCCGCTCCGCCAGCGCCCCGTCCGCCGCCGCCGCGCGCTCGTGCTCCCTCTGGCGGTAGCTGAGGACCTGCTCGGCGGCCCGGTCCACACGGACCTGCCGGTACTGCCGCTCCCGCTGGCTGGGGGTTCCTGAGCCCACGCCCTCGTAGCTCAGGTAGTGTCGGTGCTGCAGAGCGGCTCCTCGGGTTTTGTCCTCGTCGTCGTCCTCCGTCGCTCCGTCCGGCCGTCGGGTCTTACTCTGATGGGCCAGGACGGCCCGGTACGCCTCCTCGATCCGAGCGAACAGCCCGGCGTCGGCGGTGGGCTCGCCGCTGTCCGGGTGGTAGAGCTTGGCGAGGCGCAGGTAAGCGGCCCTCACCTCCGCGGGGCTGCTGCGGCCCTCGGCGGGCAGCTGCAGCACCTTGTAGCTCTCCTGGAGGCTGCGGCTGATCCAACCGTCCGAGCCGAACCGCCTGGACCGCCGGGAGGACAGGAGCAGGAGGCGGCCATGATGGAAACGCCTTCGCCACGGCAACCGCAGGAGGCTCATCTCTGGGACCGTCCTAAATGAAAACATTCAGAATCAGGAAAATGAATCTGCATCCAAACATTTCTGATATTCCAAGTGGGCGGAGCCAAGAGGCGCTGAGGGGCGTGGCCAAGCAGGGGGGGTGGAGGGGATTTGCTCAAAATGAGGGAAAACGTTGTTGCCAATTGAACTTTTTGCTACATTTAGCAACTTTTCAGGCCCTTTATCGACTTTTTTTTTTTTCAAAAAAGCGTCTGGAAACAAATTTAGAGACTTTTACTTTTATAAGGCAACAAACGACAAAGTGATGTTTTAAAAAAAAGCAACTATAAAAAACATAGCAGCTTCTTCCAAAAACAACTAGCAACAGATATAGCAACTCTTTTGAAAAACAGCAACTAACAATAAATTGACTTCTTTCAAAAAAAGCGATTAGCAATAAACCATCTTTTACAGCAACTAGTGAAAATGCAGCAACGTTTTTCTCTGTGATTAGAGACTTTTGAGACGTGAAGCACCAGCCGCCCTGCAGAAACCGTCCTGACTGAGTCTGCTGCCTTCAGCTCTTCCTCAGCTGCTGTCAGTCTCTCGCAGTCGGCCAAACCTGTTCCCCTCCGTGTCCACACTGCATATAAATCACAGATGTGCAGAGCGGAGAAACGCTGGCGGTCAATGCTGGACGCGCTCACTATTCCACCTCCTGACTCGCCAGCAGGGGGCGTGTGTCTGAGGGCTTTGTACCTGAACTTGGGCCGAGTGACATCAACCAATCTGAACCACCTGGTTAATGGGACTAATGCTACTGCAGCAGCCACTGTTTGACCCACAGAGGGCAGCACTGAGACGGTTTCAGGCTAAATATTGCTAAATGAAATACATTTACACAAAAATATCACACTTTGCACATCCATATAAAGATGGCAGCCCTAAGAACCAATTTAAAAAGCTTATTGGCAAAAATAATAACTTGATATGGGTTTTATTTACTCTTTGATCTGGGCCTGTGAATGATCATTTATCTCCAGGGTGGAAGGAGTGACAGCATGCAGCTGCAGTAATGGATTTCAAAAGTCTGACTTGCATCATCTTCAGAACCAGACCGGTCCAGAGTGCAAGTCAAGGGTCAGGAAAAGGGCAGCAAACATCTCTGCAGACCCCACATATCCTGGACATGAACTGTTTAGACTTATTGATGTTTTCAGAAACAGTCAAAGTTAAATTATTGTTTGCAAACCTGCAGGACCTGAGCTGAGAAACAACCAGGTTTAACAATCTGCCAAGAATGAAGGCAGGAGCTTCTTGACCAGCCAGATATTCTGGCTTTTTATGGATATACTTCAGCCTAATTTGATTTATGTGATTTAAAAAAGACAATGTCAATAAATCCAAGTTTTCCCCAAAAGTGTTTTTAAAGATCCTTACAGTTCTGCTTTCTACTAATGCAACAGCAGCTCAGATAAACCATAAAAAGCCCAGAGTCATCTGACATTGATGCAAAGGACTAATGTGTAATGAACCCGTAAGTCAAACTGTTTCTGATTTATTACCACAGTGGATTTAACTGCATCTCTAGAATAATAAAGAGTGTACTGGCCCTTTAACACCAGCCTGATTTCACCTGTTCAGCGCCAACTGTCTCCTGAGGCTCCGGATATTCAGTGTTTGGTTAAAAGAGTCAAACTAGTGGCGGATTTACGGGGAAACACCGAGAAAAGTGAGAGAAGCTGCGGCCAGCCCGGCCAGAGCCGCCGTCAGCCCGGCCAGAGCCGCCGTCAGCCCGGCCAGAAGCCGCGTCCCGCCTGGGCTTCAGCTCACCTGAGAGTCCGCTGTGTTGTTATGCAGCTTCTTCCTCTTCCTGCGTCTCTCCGCCGCTGAGACTCCCACCGCCCCCTGGCGTCAGCTCGAGGAATTGCGTTTGTGCTTGCATACACCAACAAATAGCAAATTAATAACTAACAGTTTCTAGTCTAATTTGGTAATAAATAATTATGAGAAATTAGCTTTCTGATGTAACTTCTTTAACTTCATACTGTTCTTTATTTTTAATAGTATTTTTCCATTTGTCTAGTTTTAGGTGTGAAACTCGATATTTTGTAAAAACTTGTTTGAATAAACAACACATGCTTTTGCCCACCACTACCACCTTAATAAAAAATAGAAAATTATTTCTTGGAGCTATTTATTCTTTGATTTTATTACTTTGACATTTTTTTGCATTTAGTTTTGATTTATTTTAAATTTAAGGATTATAAATAATTTCTAGGTCATAACTATATATTAGATATTTAGTTGGTGAATTAAATATTTAGTTTGGATATTCATCAGTGTTGTAATAACATGGTGAAAATATAACTTTCAAAATTGAACACATATTTTTATAAATTTATTTTCATTTAAACAGAAATCTGCTGCAAAAACACATAATCCCAGGTATAAAAACATTTATTTATCTGCAGTGGATTGTAGGATAAGAACATGATACAAAGATATTATTTAATTTGATAATATGAGTTGTTTCCATCCTGCAGCTGGACTTCCTGGTTTCTGAGGTCATCTCTCCATCTTCTGCTCCTGTTCAGGTTCCTGCAACACAAAATCCCATTTCTGTAGAACCTTTTTATTCTGAATGTTTAAATGCTGAAATTATGTTGTGAATGAAACATTTCAGCACTCACCTTAAAAACATGCTGCCTGTTATCCTTCACTATTAAACAGATCAGAAACAAAAATCAGTGAAATTTTTACAAGGTCTTAAAATTTGTTTGTTCTGCCTAAAAAACCCAGCAAATATCAAGCAGACAGAAACAGTTAAACATTTGCTCTCATCAGTCCAAAGGACCAGACGTTCTGCTTCCCAAAAACCGTGAAAATTCAGCCTCTTTCTAACTGTCCCCTCATGACCTTTAACCTTTCTCTAGTTGCTTCTCTGAACTCGTTGCTGATGTTTGTCCATCTTGTTGTATTAACGCAGCAACAAAATGTATTAAAACCAGAGTTTATTTGACCCCATGTTTAAATCAGATAACCTCAGGACTTCACTACAGCTAGATTGTTTTTGTTTGTTTTACTTGAAGCAGATTCAAATAATTTAAGGCTATCATAGAAACATCTTTACCCTAATATGAAAAACTAGTTTTTCAGCAGTGCATACCTTCTTTTGTCATTACTCAACAATTCATGATGCAGTAACTAAATTGGGACATAAAGTGGCGTTTCTGATGTTCAAAGCTAAAATGCAGTTTTGTGCAAATCTGCAGGTGAAATAGTTCAATATAGATTTGCAGGTAACAAATGAACAAAGATTTAATTTAACAAATCTGCATTTTAAAAAAATTTGTCTTAATGAATCAGTTTTCTTGTTTCCGCTGAACTTTAGCTTGTTTTATTTCTAAATCTCGATGCTTGTCTCTGTCTCTGGTCTCTGGTCTCTGTCTCTGTCTCTGGTCTCTGGTCTCTGGTCTCTGTCTCTGGTCTCTGGTCTCTGTCTCTTGTCTCTGGTCTCTGTCTCTGGTCTCTGGTCTCTGTCTCTGGTCTCTGGTCTCTGGTCTCTGTCTCTGGTCTCTGGTCTCTGTCTCTGGTCTCTGTCTCTGGTCTTTGGTCTCTGGTCTTTGGTCTCTGTCTCTGTCTCTGGTCTTTGGTCTCTGTCTCTGGTCTCTGGTCTCTGTCTCTGGTCTCTGGTCTCTGTCTCTGGTCTCTGGTCTCTGGTCTCTGTCTCTGGTCTCTGGTCTCTGTCTCTGGTCTCTGTCTCTGTTCTCTGTCTCTGGTCTCTTGTCTCTGGTCTCTGTCTCTGGTCTTTGGTCTCTGTCTCTTGTCTCTGGTCTGGTCTCTGTCTCTTGTCTCTGGTCTCTTGTCTCTGGTCTCTGTCTCTGGTCTCTGGTCTCTGTCTCTGGTCTCTGGTCTCTGGTCTCTGGTCTCTGTCTCTGGTCTCTGGTCTCTGGTCTCTGGTCTCTGGTCTCTTGTCTCTGGTCTCTGTCTCTGGTCTCTGGTCTCTTGTCTCTGGTCTCTTGTCTCTGGTCTCTTGTCTCTGGTCTCTGTCTCTGGTCTCTGGTCTCTGGTCTCTGGTCTCTTGTCTCTGTCTCTTGTCTCTGGTCTCTTGTCTCTGGTCTCTGTCTCTGGTCTCTGGTCTCTGTCTCTTGTCTCTGGTCTCTGGTCTCTGTCTCTTGTCTCTGGTCTCTTGTCTCTGGTCTCTGTCTCTTTTCTCTGGTCTCTGTCTCTGGTCTCTTGTCTCTGGTCTCTTGTCTCTGGTCTCTGTCTCTTTTCTCTGGTCTCTGTCTCTGGTCTCTTGTCTCTGGTCTCTTGTCTCTGGTCTCTGTCTCTGGTCTCTGGTCTCTTGTCTCTGGTCTCTGTCTCTGGTCTCTGGTCTCTTGTCTCTGGTCTCTTGTCTCTGGTCTCTGGTCTCTTGTCTCTGGTCTCTGTCTCTGGTCTCTGTCTCTTGTCTCTGTCTCTGGTCTCTGTCTCTTGTCTCTGTCTCTGTTCTCTGTCTCTGGTCTCTTGTCTCTGGTCTCTGTCTCTGGTCTTTGGTCTCTGTCTCTTGTCTCTGGTCTCTGGTCTCTGTCTCTTGTCTCTGGTCTCTTGTCTCTGGTCTCTGTCTCTGGTCTCTGGTCTCTGTCTCTGGTCTCTGGTCTCTGGTCTCTGGTCTCTGTCTCTGGTCTCTGGTCTCTTGTCTCTGGTCTCTTGTCTCTGGTCTCTGTCTCTGGTCTCTGGTCTCTTGTCTCTGGTCTCTTGTCTCTGGTCTCTGGTCTCTTGTCTCTGGTCTCTGTCTCTGGTCTCTGTCTCTTGTCTCTGTCTCTGGTCTCTGTCTCTTGTCTCTGTCTCTTTTCTCTGGTCTCTGTCTCTGGTCTCTTGTCTCTGGTCTCTGTCTCTTGTCTCTGGTCTCTGTCTCTGGTCTTTGTCTCTGGTCTCTTGTCTCTGGTCTCTGTCTCTTGTCTCTGTCTCTTTTCTCTGGTCTCTTGTCTCTGGTCTCTGTCTCTTGTCTCTGGTCTCTGGTCTTTGTCTTTGGTCTCTTGTCTCTTGTCTCTGGTCTCTGTCTCTTGTCTCTGGTCTTTGTCTCTGGTCTCTGTCTCTTGTCTCTGGTCTCTTGTCTCTGGTCTCTGTCTCTTGTCTCTGTCTCTTGTCTCTGGTCTCTGTCTCTGGTCTCTGGTCTCTGTCTCTGTCTCTGGTCTCTTGTCTCTTTTCTCTGGTCTCTGTCTCTGGTCTCTTGTCTCTGGTCTCTGTCTCTTGTCTCTGGTCTCTGTCTCTGGTCTCTGTCTCTTGTCTCTGTCTCTTTTCTCTGGTCTCTGTCTCTGGTCTCTGTCTCTTGTCTCTGGTCTCTGTCTCTGGTCTCTGTCTCTGGTCTCTGGTCTCTTGTCTCTTGTCTCTGTCTCTTGTCTCTGGTCTCTTGTCTCTGGTCTCTGTCTCTGTCTCTTGTCTCTGGTCTCTGGTCTCTGGTCTCTTGTCTCTGGTCTCTGGTCTCTGGTCTCTTGTCTCTGTCTCTTGTCTCTGGTCTCTTGTCTCTGGTCTCTGGTCTCTTGTCTCTGGTCTCTTGTCTCTGTCTCTTGTCTCTGGTCTCTTGTCTCTGTCTCTTGTCTCTGGTCTCTGGTCTCTGTCTCTTGTCTCTGGTCTCTGTCTCTTGTCTCTGTCTCTTGTCTCTGGTCTCTGTCTCTGGTCTCTTGTCTCTGGTCTCTGTCTCTTGTCTCTGGTCTCTGGTCTCTGTCTCTTGTCTCTGGTCTCTGGTCTCTTGTCTCTGTCTCTTGTCTCTGGTCTCTGTCTCTGGTCTCTTGTCTCTGTCTCTTGTCTCTGGTCTCTGTCTCTGGTCTCTTGTCTCTGGTCTCTGTCTCTGCTCGTTTCACTCACTGAGTCTCTCCGCCTGCTGCTTGCAGCTGATGCTCCTCAGGATCTCCACGGTGACGTCCACAGCCTGGTCCTCCGTGAAGGTGGAGACCAGAACATCCACGACCTCCAGGCGGCTCTTGCCCTCCACCCTGCAGCGTCTGACCCGCGGCTCCTCTCTGCGGTCCAGCAGCTGGAAGATGAACTTGTCCAGGTTGTCTTTGCTCAGGTCCTCCAGGGTTTCAGCCAGAAGCTGCTTGACGCTGCGAGGCATTTCTCTGGAGGATGAAGCTGCTGGAACAGAAACTGAACCAAAACTGAGGAGTCAGAATACAGGATTCAGCTAACCGTTATTTATCAGCTTATTAAAATAGAGAGAGATCTGATAGGATTGTTGTCCTTTACATGTCAGTTATGAATTTCTAATGCAGACTGATGGTTTTATAACTTCCAGTAATTTTCCTACCTTCTGATTTCACAGCAGTAGCTTCTGTTGACGACGCCCATCAAAAAGAGAAACAAACACAAACATGAATAAAATGGTTTAATTCAGTTATAATGAAGATGAAACAAACAGATCGATCCAACCAAAGCTGCTCTTCTTAAATTCAACATGACCAAAGTCAGGCTCAACCCAGAAACTGTTGCGTTTCCAACTAGTTTGGATGATCATATAAAAGTTGTACATTCAATATCAAATTTGTGGAGATTGTAAAATGTCTAAGAAAATGTATCTTCAATTATTAATCATCAGAATCCTCAAATACAGATTTAAAAAAAATAATTGCAGCATCTCACCTTCAACACAACCAGATTTGGGATGATCATCTAAAAAATGAAGAACAGAAACAATGTCGATGTTTTACATTCAGTTTCATTCATTAGTAAGCATAAATTTACTTCATCTGATCCAGAACCATTTGGATTATTGTTCAGTTAAGGTTCTGAGACCCGAACTGCTGATCTGAGCTGAAGTTGAAGAATTTACTACATAATGAAAAAAGTCAATCTATAACATAATATTTTATCAAACTTGCTGCTTCAATGAGCCGAAGGGACGAAGTAATAATTGTGACATAACTGACCTTTCCGAATTTCACAGAACCAAACAGGTTGTGCAGTTTTTCTGATCCAAGCCGTTTTTGTCTGCAGAAGCTCCAGGTTGAAGTTTCCATCTGGATTCTCAATGTAAACCTCGTAGAAGTTTTGGTTGTTGACTCTCAGAGTGATTTCCTGTGAAACAACAAGTCAGTCTGACTCTGTGGTCAGAAAAGCTTCAGGCAATAAAGTTGACCTGCAGTTTTATGATCAGTGCCCCAGATTCACTCTGGACGGTTCTGGGATCAAAGTTTGATCAGCAAAACCAAATTGAAAACCCAGTTTCTGAAGCTAAGTCCAAACGGTACCGGCGGTAGGATTCTGGCGGTCTCCTCAGTGGCTTGGAGAGTGAATCCCCGGCTCATCTTCAGATACTTGTCTGGATGAGGCTTCTTCATGACCTCATACCCACTGGAGGATTCTTCTTTGTGGATCAACTGTAAGGACAGAAAACAGTCGCCATGTTTCTCCAAGATTTCATCTGCTGATGAAAAACTCTGAATAAATAAACGACCAATCATAAAAGTTCTCATTCTCACAGAATGAAGATAAAAACCAGCAGGTTGCAGCACAAGCTAAAGTGCAACTTTCAGGGCATACAAAGTATAACTGTCCAACAAAACACAGCTGTGAGTGATGCAAGTGTTTCAGCTTTTACACACTGTGGTCTGTAGCAACCTAATGAGGGAAAGTCAAAGCATTAGTAAGACTGACTTTACTAGAAAGCAACTAATTGTTTGTTTTGAAATTCATCCATCCAACTTCTTCCGCTTATCTGAATTTGGGTCTTTGAAATTCTGATTTAACTTAAAACGATTCTTTTCCAAAACTATTAGCTCTAAAAACTGACGCCTTCAAACTCAATTTTATGATCAGTAACAGATTTTTTCAGCCACATTTCTGATAATACTAAAACGTCAGGATCAGTTTTAAGAATTCAGAAATTTATAAAATCCAATTTATCCCACATTAAAGAGAACTGAACCACAACCTGAGCCAGGTTTAAATGTTCAAGTGTATCTTCTACAGATCAATGGACATATGTTCGATAAATGCTGGACTAATAGGAAAGCATAATTGGAGCTAATAATTTCTAAACATTTTAACACAGCACTTCCATTTATTTGTGTTTTGTAGTTGTTGTAATAACCAAAATATTAGAGCTTAAAAAATGAAAACTCATGCAGTTAATACAGATAAAGAATATAATGAAATAAATAACCAATCACCTGTTTCAGAGCAGGATCCGGTGGAATCAGGTAGACGTGCATCTTCAGGTAGGACGTTTTGGGCTGGTAGTAAATTAATGTGTTGCAGATGATTCTTAGAGAAAATACGTCTTTTATCACATCTCCGACTAAAGAGAAAACTACCTGCTGAGAGCTACCTGAACAGATCTACCTGAACAGATCTACCTGAACAGATCTAACTGAACAGATCTACCTGAACAGATCTACCTGAACAGATCTACCTGCAGGTAGATCTATTTAAGTCTCTCTGTGCTGTAAACCAGCCTGTTTGTTAGCTCCACTGTAACATACTGTGATGAGTCACAGATTAATTGAATATGAAAATATATTTTCATTCTATTTTCTTTTGTCTTTATTATATTTTAATAATTTGCTTTCATGTTGAAATTGTTTTCAAAAACCAACATGCTTGATCATTTTCTTTAATAATCATAATGATGCCAATATTCACCAAACACAATAACAATGAAACACATCAGCAGCTTAACAATGAATCAGTTCTGCTGGTTTAAAGGATCTTTTGTTTTGATATTTTAATATTATGTCACTTTGTTTGTTTGCAATGATCCAGTTTTAGCCTCTAAAGTCTGAATCTGTCTTTAGATTTTGTGATTTTATACCAAGCTGCTCTGAAAAACATTTCTTTAGTTGTGGCAGAATGTGATTGGCTGTTCAAATCCTGGACAGGAAGTCGGTCAGAACTTCAGTCTGGACCCGACCGACACCTTTCATCACGGTTCCACTTTAACAACCTGGTTTTGATGAAAACATGTCACAAACTATAACAATAATGATTACAATAATAATGTTATTGTCACCAAAGGAAACTCAATGAGTTGAAGTTTATAAAATCATCTCCAATATTTGGTTTCATTAAAATGCTTCATTTAATGAGACATAAAAACAAAAAGATGCAGCCGACCTCAGTTATATCAGCTGATGAAAACCTTTAAAAATGGTGAAATGTTTCAGTTTCTACTCAGTAAAAAGTAACGCCATGCCAGCAGGAACCAGAACCCCCTGGGCCACCTTTAGGTCCGGCCCTGGTTCCTCCTCAACATTTCCTCTGGAGGTCGGTGATCAGGTGTGGCTCTTTCTCCTGAAGGATGGAGAGGAAAATGTCTTTGCATTCGTCAGCAGCTCTGAGGCAGGAGAAGATTTCCCTCAGCTGAGCCTCAGAGGTCGGCAGAGATCGGATCCTGTCGTAGGTTTCCTCCATCAGAACTTTGTTCTGTAAAAGTCCATCTAAGACGGGTTCTACGTTCCTCACTCTCTGGATCAGTGTCTCTCTGTGTTTGTCCACAAAATGTTCCTCTGATGAAAAACAGAAAAAGACTAAAAAAAAACTGATTTCTGTACGTTAGACAGCCTGAATGTAAATGCAAGTTGTTAATTTATTAATATAGAAAACTGTCAGTTTTGTTTAATATTCACATGCAGAACGATGGTTTCTATGATTTCATACCTTCTTTCTTCACAGTAACAGTTTCTGTTGAACATCCTCCACCTGACAGACAAAAACACAGAAATATTGATGATAAATTGAGTTATGATGAAGATACAGCCAGTAGTTTCCTTTCGTAACATCAAGGTGACGCAGGTCAAACTGGACTCTGTTTGTTTCCAACTAGTTCAGATGATCATTGATTAATATCTTCATAAAATGTCATTTCAATCATAAAAATCCTTCAGTGCAGATTTTTTGTAAATAAATGAAGCATCTCACCTCCAGTGGAACCAGATTTAGGATGATCATCTAAGAAATAAAGAACAGAAACAATCTCAATGTGAAACATGAATTATTAAGCTGAGGCAACGAGCTGAATGAAGTTCAGACTGAAAGTTTCCAGAAGTCATAATTATGACATAAACTGACCTTTCCTAATCTCACAGAACCAAACTTTCTCTGAATGAGTCTGCAGCAGCTCCAGGTTGAAGTTTTCGTCTGGACTCTCAATAAAAACCTCGTAGAAGTTTGGATCCTGGCTGTCGGGCCTCAGAGTGATTTCCTGTGAAGCAACAAGTCACTTTGACTCTGAGGTCAAAACGGTTCAGGGAATAAAATCAACCTGCAGATTAAGGATTATGACACCAGATTCACTCTGGGATTAAAATATCAGAACCAAAGTGGACTGAAACGAAACGTGAGTTCCTCAAACCAAAGGTTCCCAAACCGAAGGTTCCCAAACAGAAGGTTCCCAAACCGAAAGTTCCCAAACTAAAGGTTCCCAAACAGAATGTTCCCAAACCAAAGGTTCCCAAAAAAGAAGGTTCCCAAATTAAAGTTTCCCAAACTAAAGGTTCCCAAACTGAATGTTACCAAACTAAATGTTCCCAAACAGAAGTTTCCTAAACAGAAAGTTCCCAAACTAAAGGTTCCCAAACAAAAAGTTCCCAAACAGAAGTTTCCCAAACTGAAGAATCCCAAACTAAATGTTCCCAAACCGAAGGTTCCCAAACTGAATGTTCCCAAACTAAATGTTCCCAAACAGAAGTTTCCCAAACAAAAGGTTCCCAAACTGAAGGTTCCCACACACTCAGGTGTTGTGTGTTGTTCTGTGATTGGCTCAGGTTTTGGTCGCTGATCGTAAACATCGCCTGCGTTCCTCATAAATTCCTTCATTTCCCACAATCTGAATGGATGCCAGTAAATGTGTTGCTGAGCCGTCAGTCAGAGTCACGCTAACGTCTTTGTGTTTGTGCTGACCGGATCCGCTCACGGTCGGATCCAACCCGGTTGCATGTGAACTCAGTTTCCTGTGACAGAAACTCGGTATCAGGTCAGAGTCTGCAGTCCATCTGTGTGAGTCTCTACAGAGAGATGTTCGCCTGAGTATGTGGGCCTTCCAGTCCAAACGGTACCGGTGGCTGGATTCTGGCCGTCTCTACGGTGGCCTGGAGGCTGAATCCACGGTCCATCTTCAGAGGCTTGTCTGGGCGGGGCTTCATGATTTCTTCGTATCCCTTGGAGGATTCTCTCCTGTGGACCGACTGTAGGACAGAAACCAGAAAGCAGCCCAGGTGTTTTTAACTAAACACAAACACTGAAGCAATAAAATGTTAAATGGTTTGTGAAACTCTTGATCTGATCCAAAGGAACCCAAAGAGCTTGAAACTAGTCAGTGATTCACACTGACGACCAATCAGAAGAGAGTCCTCTCTCCCAGGAAGTGACAGCAACAACCTGCTGCCATGTTGCAAAGAAACGGAAATACTGTAAATTATATGATATTCATTGGTTCCATAATGAGGAAGTTCATAAAAGTAAAAAAGATCCTTGATATTGAAATGTTCAGCATCATGGGACCGCTGAAATAAAAGTTCACCTGAGAATAATGATGAAGAAATCAAGTCTGGATTTATATCAACCGGAGTTTCACCCTTTCATCACTGTAAATATGATTAATATCTAAACTGAGCGTTCAGCTTGTATTGGTGCCGTTAAACATTAAATCAGTTTAAGAACTGAGGAGTTAAAACTAAACATCTCTGATCACAGAAACAAAGTTTTAATAATCTTTCCAGCTCAGATGTTTTTATTTAAAACTTCAAGTTTAAAGTCGATGCTGCAGGATTTAACAAGAAGACGTGGGATTGGATTAATCTGTGATTGTTTTCATTTATTGGATTAAAACATGTTTAAACATCTCTAATGATATAAAATCTAATAAATTTAATAATAATGATATAAATTTTTGTTTTATATCATTATTATTATTAATATGCTCCATCCCTTCCTTATCAAGCTGTCTGTTTAATTATTAAAACAGATTTAAATGTAAAAATGATTTAATATGGATAAATAAAGAATATAATGAAATAAATAACCAATCACCTGTTTCAGAGCAGGATCCGGTGGAATCAGGTAGACGTGCATCTTCAGGTAGGACGTTTTGGGCTGGTAGTAAATTAATGTGTTGCAGATGATTCTTGGAGAAAAGAAAAGATTTCTCAGAGCTCCCAGCAAAGAGAAAACTGGTTCTGTTAACCCGACATGGGTCTTTGTGACCCGGGTCGCTTTCTCCAGAACATCTCCACAGTCGCCAACATGGAGGACAGCAAAGTTCTTCAGTAACTCAGGAACATCGTCTGAAACGCAGCAGAAACAGAAACTCTGTGAGAAACTTCTGGATCGGTTCTGAAAACAGAAATCATGTTTTTCATGATGTTGTCCTACCGGTGCAGACCCAGTGTGGCAGCTGCACCTCCATCACCTTCCCAGTAAGGACAGAGATGTCCAGCAAAGGTCCAGCAGGCCGGTATCCTCTGCTCTCCATCCTCTCCATGTGTCCGACCCAGGAGCAGAACCGGTACCGAAAGCCCACCTTCTCCCTGCAGACCCAACGCAGACCAGAGACGCTGCATTCAAAGTGTCCCGCTGCAGACTGGAGGCTGAAACCAAACATGAAGAAGAAGTTTGAGGTGATGATGTCACAGTTTGACCTGCTGACCTCCAGGTTCTGAGGTTTTACCTGTAAGTGGGATCTTCATCCGGAGACGTCCCGTCCAGCTCAGGGTCCACTTTGGTCCAGCTGCTGGAGTCCTGCTGCACCACATCATCCCACATGTTGATCTTTCACATGTTATATAGATTAAACACAGGGTCAAAGGTGAGGACTAGAAAACACGTAGATTACCTCCACACTTCCACAATCCACAGAATCCACACTTGTTGAAGTTTCTTCTGGAAACACGTTGAAGCAGGAGAGTTAAAATCCGGGTCAATCAGAATAATTTATTATGACAGACTGGTGATCATAAACACATTAGGGTTTTTATGATTTTACACCTTGTTACTTTTGTAGAAGATCGCTGATTACATTCGCAATATTTTCTCACTTGCTCCTTAAATTGTTCTATGAATCTGCTCAGTATTTTCTTATTGTACAAGTTAAACACAAAAAGAGCAGCAACAGACAGTATAAACATGATACAGGGTCTTTCTGGGGAATCAGAAAGTATCTGTATGAGTTGGAGAGACTGAGTCCTGTGTCCTCCTGTCTCTTGCAGTTCCATGGACTCACAAAGAGCTTTTCAGCTGACCACATAGACCTGTCCTCTGAAAAAGTGCAGACCAGAACATACATACATACATACATACATACATACATACATACATACATACATACATACATCTATCTATCTATCTATCTATCTATCTATCTATCTATCTATCTATCTATCTATCTATCTATCTATCTATCTATCTATCTATCTATCTATCTATCTATCTATCTATCTATCTATCTATCTATCTATCTATCTATCTATCTATCTACTGATATAGACATATCTATATAGATTTATATCTATAGATTTTGAACTAAATATATAAAAATCTATAGATATAGATCTAGATCTATAGACATCTATATCACCTTATAGATATAGGCCACCTATATCTAGAGATATAGATATGAGATATATATATATATATATATATATATATATATATATATATATATATATATATATATATATATATATATATATATATATATATATCAGTGATGTGCGGTGAGGCTCTGACTTAATCAAAATTATAAAATCCTCTCCACGTTATTGTTCACATACAGAAATTTTGTGGATGTGGACACTGAAGGGCAAAAAGAGCATACTTTCACATGCCATCTGTAGGCACACTGCCACGGTAGAATAAATCCGTTAACTCAATGAAACTTGGAAATATAGATATCATTTTAATGCCAAGCTGCACAGCAAAGTGGAAACCCATTGAATTACAACTTGAAACCACCTTTATCTTGCTCTCAGTATCGGCTAAGCTACACACAGATTTGTTGCGTGTAGCTTCACTTATTTACTGTATCGCTAACCCGCTGTTTCTTACTTTGCAGACGTGGAGTCACAATGTGTGGGATCATGAGCGCCCCCTGCCATGATGCAAGAAAACTGCCTGCCTCATCTTGAGACTATTCTCTGCCGTTTCTGATCGCTCCGCAGCACATGAATGACGTTTCACACAGAGTTGGTGACAACAAACACTGAACATTATATAGATAAGCTAAATGATGAAAAATCAATTTACACATTAAGCTCTTTTTCACCATTTTATTGGCAACATGCAGACAGGAGAAACATGCTCTCATCGAGTGGCAGCAAACGCAGTTAGCGAGAGGTTGCGCTGTCCCAAGTGAAGTTCAGCACAAACACAAAACAAATACGCATTTATTTTGAAAACTGACGCAAAATTAAGCTATCACGTGATAATGCGAGACATCGTTTGTTGCCAATCATGTGATTTTCAGCAAGACGACACAAGCATCGAAGCAGGGCTGTATCTGACACACTCCCATTTTACACGGAACACGCCTCAAAACCTGGCTTCAGACGGTCCTTCACTACGATCTGTCACTCTTCAAATTGCTAAGATGCTGGGGCTTGGTCACAGAACAATCCAACATTTTGCTGCAAATAGTCAAAAGGATCGCAAGAAATGTTTTGACACAAAGAGACATAAATTTATTGCCAAAGATTGGAGAAAAACAAACGTGAAGCTACCAGGAACTCGTCATCTTCCATTACTGTCATATTCCAGAACTGCAACCTACCTGGAGAGCCCAGAAGTAAAATATATTCAGTACTTAGAGACATGGCCAGGGTAAGGAAAGCTGAAACGTGACAACCACTAAACAAGACACATATGTTGAAACTTGAACCTAGATATTTTATGGACTGATGAGATGGAAATGGGACAGCTGCAGTCAAGTTTTGTAGTGCAAGTACATTTACATACTGCATGTTCATGTTTATGTATTGATATGTATTAATGAATAATTTCATTTATGTACACATGTATCTTAGCTTGTAAGTAGATTTTTGTCAAAAGATTGAAATATTGGAATTGGGGCAATAAAAGTTCATATACAACTGTCTGGTGGATTGATGGTTGGCAGTAAACTGGTCGCCAAGTACTTAAAAATAATTTTAAACAAACAAATCTAATATAAGGCAGTTTATTGACTCAAAAGAACGTTATTACTTGTATTTGACATCCTCATATGTATCTCAGTGTTCCTAAACTTAAAAAGTGCCACCTGGTAGTAGTTGGCGATGGATACACAAGTGCATCCCAAACCCTAACAGATTTTCAATGTTCTATATTTCAAAAAAATGTATATATTAAAGATTATATTTTATGTTCCAGGGTCCCTAAAAAAGAAAAAAAAAGTCCAAAGGTATAAAACCAAATCAAACCTTTAGCTCATTTAGAAAATTGTGTCCCCACGTGTAACCCCCTAGTCACTGGTTAAACAAAGTCCTCAAAGTGTACAGAAAACAAGTACGTGTGTGTATGTGCGCCCCAGGTATTGGATGCAGGATGTCTGCAAGATATTATCTTAGGGTACACACAGGGATCATCATGACACATACTACGTTGTGGGGACCAAAGTCTGGCCCCACTAGGGGAAATGTTTTTGGGTCAAGAGTTAGATTTAGGACTAAACTGTGAATTAAGTTTTGCTTCGGCTTAGGGTCAGGATAAGGGTAAGGTTAAGGCAGTAGAAATGAATGCAAGTCAATGAAAAGTCCCCACAAAGATAGCCACGAAAATGTGTGTGTGAGTGTCCATATGGATGTATACATCGGTATGTATATCAAATTAGATTTGGGACAGAGTACAATGCTAGAGTAACAAAAAAATATATATGATTAGACTTATTACAGATTTAATGAGTCTCACCAGTGTCTTGCATATTCTCAGCCAAATCTTTTCTGTTTATTTCAATCAGAAGATCTTTGATCATCTTCACTGACTGCTGGCCAAACGTCTCCATCATCTCATCAACGACTTCTGCTGTCTGTGTTGTGAACTCCAATCTTGGTGAAAAGTCTGATAAATTTCGCTTAACTTTTGAAAATTCCTCCTTGGTTAATTTGTCCAGAGTTTCCAGGAGTTGCTGTCTAACCGCTGCCATCATCGCCACCTGAATCATTCAGTTCATGACAGAGAAAGCTGCTTCATTCAGGGAAAATCACAAACGTGGCGGCTAAGATTCATCACATTCGTAAACTGCAGCTGATTTCCTCTGAGCCAAACTATGAAATGAAATCATTGAGGTTAGAAATGATCTTTGTTTTAACCTCTTTCACCTGAAGATCATGAAATAAACTCCTGATGTCTCTTTACTCACGTTGTGGATCAGAGCAGAACGATGTGGACCTGCAGAAGGTTTCTCTGAGGAGAAAACAAGAAGAAAAGTTTCTATCTGACCATCACTTCTATGTGCAACGATGTGATCAAAACCATGCAGAGAAACATCATAACACTGATATCAGCCACTTTGAGAAGGTTGAGATGTTTTACTCTGAAATGTTGAACCTTTAGGTCCTGAGCTTCTGGCTGACAGCTTCGCTATCAGATCGTGCTTCTTCATCTGCTTTAAAACATCCGTGGTCTTCTCCACTGACTGGTGGAAACAAGTCAGCACCAAACCCACCATGTATTGCACATTATTAATTTGGTTTCCCACATCGGTATATATTCACTTTGATGGTCAATTTTATTCTGTGTAATTGTCTGAAACTTTCCAATCTCTCCTTCATCAAGCTTCCAGTGTTTCCAGCAGCAGCTCCGTCACAAACTCCAACTTTTCCACCTGGTGAATAAAAACTCATCATCTCTCAGGGCTGAAACAATCAGATTCTTTTCATTAGACCAGGAGTTTCTTCTTCATGTGCAGCAACCAAAAGCTGATTGAGCTCTAGAAGAAACAAACTCCTCAGGGTGAAGATTACACTGATGAAATAAAAAGTGACATGACTCACTTTCTGGAGGAAAGCAGAGTTCAGCTCCACACAAAGTTTCTCTGAGGAGAAAAGATGAAACATTAATCAGTTTTCACAGATTCTGGTTTAAAATCATTTTATTCTGGATCAATTAGAAAACAGAGACTAACGAATCCAGCTGGAAGCTCTAATAGATGTTTGAGTTTCATCAGATGTTAAATCATCTGGTACCTTAGATGCTGAGCTGGTCTCAGGCAGGACCAGCGCCAGATCGGTTCTGTTCAGGTCCAGTAGAACCTCCCTGATCACCTCCACAGATAGTTTACCACATTTATTAACCAGATGATCCACCACTCTGGCTCTGTTTGTATCATCCAGTTCATCCCACGAGATTAGTGGAATATTTCTCTGGAAGTTTGCGAACTGCAGCAACAGTTTTAACTCAATGAATTCAGTTTCATTTAAATCCTGCAGAGTTTCCAGAAGAACGTCTTTAACAGCTGCCATGGTCGCCACCTGGAGATTCAAGAACATTTTTCAGGATGTTTCTTCTCAGAGAGGCCAGAATAATCCTAATAATTATCCTCTGCTGTCCACTGATCTGGACAATCAAGATTTACTCACTTCATGGATCAGATCAGATTGTTTCCCCAACAGCATCTCTGAGGAAAACAGATGAAATTATAACCATTAAAGATCAACAGGAAGCTCTTGTTCTCATTCAGGATCAAGTTGACTAAAGTTGGTGGCCTCTGCACAGACGATCCGTCCATCTGTCTTTCTGGTTTAACTCTGTTTCTCTCTGGGCTGCAGTAGCTGCCACTGACTGCTGTCTAACATGATGAAGCCCAACATCCTGGTTCATCATGAACTCACCTTCCTATCTGTGATCACACTGCTGATCTCACCTTGTTCAAGTTAAATCAGGATATAGACCATGTTGAGAAGCGTGTGACTGATTTCTGAATCTGCAGCTTTTACCTGTGGAGGCTGAGCTGCTGCTCATCCTCTGGACCAAATCTGTCCTCCTGATGCTCTCTAAAACATCTCTGGTCACCTTGATAGACTCTTTTCCATGAGTCCGAAGAATGGAAATCACTGATTCCTGCTGGTCTGATGTGTCCAGCTGGATTTGCTGATGACTGATGGTGGACCTGAAGTTATTAAAGGAACTCATCTTCCTTTTAAATTCCATGAACTCTTCATCATTCAGATCCTTCAGTGTTTCCAACATCAGGTTAATATCATTGATCAGCTTTTCTACCTGTGAGAGTCAGAGAAAAAATACTAAATTAAATGTTTACCTATGTGTTTCCACGTAAACATAGATAAAAAGTGCACGACATAAATCTTGATTATATGAGGGATAATTTTCTATTTCATGATCCATATTGCTCAAAAACATTTATCTGGATTTTATTTGGTTTCTTTGATCTTTTCTAAGAAAACAACATTCCCTCAAAATCTAATGCAACCAAACCTGAAACAAGCACCTGGATTTTTACATATAATTTATTTGAATGTTTAATAAATTTGTGTCTAAGATAATTTCACATCGTCTAAGTAACAGTTGACCTCTGCAGCCTTACTGACCCTCTGGTCCAGTGAAAGTCGTTCTTCTTCAACAGAAAATTTATCTGACAAGAAAAATAGAAACATTCAGATTAGCAGAAGTTTCAACATCTGGACTATAAAATTTAAACCACAAAGTTTCACAACAGCAAAAAAAAAACTTTTCCAACATGTTTTCAATAAATGTTTAGAACAGATAAATGTGTGGATGTGCCAAAACTTTCTCCAACTGAACAAAAACAAAACTGAAGTCATTATTTTTGGACCTAAAGAGCAACGATCTAGAGTCAATGCACAGCTTCAGTTATTACAAGTAAAAACTAGCGATCAGGCCGAACCTGGGAGTAGTGATGGACTCGGACTTGAACCTCCAGAGCCACATAAAGACAGTAAACAAAATCGGCCTTCTATCACCTGAAGAACGTCTCCAGGATTAGAGGACTAATGTCTCAGCCAGATCTAGAGAAACTCATCCATGCGTTTATCTTTAGTCGCATTGATTATTGTAACAGCATCTTCTCAGGCCTGTCCAACAAATCAATCATCCAGCTGCAGTTGATCCAGAACGCTGCTGCTCCTGTTCTCACTAGAACCAGGAAGATAGAGACATAACAGCAGTTCTAAAGTCCCTCCACTGGCTCCCTGTAGCTCACAGAATAAATTTTAAAATCCTGTTGTTTATAAATCACTGAACGGTTTAGCACCACAATACATCAAAGATCTGCTGTTGTTGTATCAACCTTCCAGACTCTCAGGTTCTGGTTCTGGTTCTGCTCTGCATCCAGAACCAGAACCAAGAGAGGAGAAGCAGCTTTCAGCATCTATGGACCAAAAACTTGGAACAAACTTCCAGAAAACTGTAAAAAGCAGAAACCCTGACTTCCTTTAAATCACAACTAAAAACCAGCTGATTAGAGTTTTATTTGAAATGTAATATGTATGGATTTGTATTTGTGGATATGTATGTAATTTTATTTTCCTGTTTTGGGGAACGGGGCCCGACGAATACCCGTGGTTAAACGGACGGCAGAGTCCGGCGGTAACAGGCGCTTAAATTCCGTGACAAAAAAAAAGGAAGGGAAGAAAAAAAACATTTGGTATTTTATTCTATGTTGCATGCCTTTGTGTTTTATGTTTATGATGTAAAGCACTTTGAAATGCCTTGTAGCTGAAATGTGCTATACAAATAAAATTTGATTGATTGATTGATTATCTTGATAACTTTCACTGATCAGAATAAGTTACATTTCCTGATCAGGTTTCCTGAAACAGATTCAGGAGGAAACTTTTCTTTCTCCTCTGTTTCACCTTTTGACAATCTCTGCACCAGATCCAAGCGGTCCATCTTGGCCAGAACGGTTCTGACGGCCTCCACACATTCTCCGCTGCTGGTCTGCAGCATCAGATCAACGACATCCTGAACGTTTGCTGCTTCCAGGAGGCTGCAGGTCACCAAGCTCGGCTCTGCTTCAGCCAGAGTCCTGAACCGGGCAAAGTCCTCCAGGCTCAGCAGCTTCAGGGTTTCAACCAGGATCTGGCTCTCCTCCATCGTTCCAACCTGGAGAAGAAAACACCAGAAATTCACCATGAATGCTGCAAACTGGATGTTTTACGCAGCATCACAGTTTCAGTGACACAGATTGTTTATGAATCAAGTTTTCTTTGACTTTTCATTCACCTTTAACACCATACAGCCCAGATTACCAAAGGAGAAGCTGGACAAAATGGATGTGGACACATAATTTCTCATCATTAATAAACTTATAGACAGTTTGAGTTCCAGGCTGTCGTCGACTAAAACTGTCAGATAAAACGGCTACAGTGGAGCATGGAGGGAGACGGGAGGAGTTCAGGAATCTGAAGGATCATTTTGTGACGTGGTGCAAATAGAAACAATCACAGGTAAATGTAGACAAGACCAAGAGAGTGTTGGTCAATTTAATGCATTAGAACCTCAGTGTTACTGTAAGGAACAATACTTAAACCAGGACAGAGGGCTTCACAAAGGAGACTAAAACTTCAATTTAATAATTTGAAAACTATTTAACAAAGCATCAAAGTTCAACCAAAATATCAGATTGGAGCCCAAAGTCAACTGACACAAACCGAACTGACCTGCAAACAAAGAATAACAGGCTGCAGAAAAATCTGATCCACCGTGAAAACAATGTTTCAGTTCATGGAGTCACAAAAATCACAAACTGACTAATTTTGTTAACATTTTGTATGAAACATGGGGTTTTCAGTATTTACTGTGGTGAACTCGTAAATAGTGTCCCTGATCTCACTGCTCTGCAGGCTTTAGTGATCTGAAACACAATCTTCAGGTGATATTAGAAATATATTAATGTGATTTATAAGAACGACCTGTGAACTGTTTGATAAGTATGCAGCATTTTAACAGCCTGCAGCACAAACACCTGCAGGCTCCTCCCAGGTCGAAGGTCAGTCATGGAAGCTGAATATATGTTGTAATAAATAAACTGTAATATCTGCCAAGTCTGCTCGATTATTTACTTCTAACCAGAGTGAATAAACACGTTCAGATTTGTTTCTTGTTCAGTCAGGAATCCCGTCTGGAGAAAATAAACCGAGTTCATATGAAATGCAGTTAGAGCTCAGTCCTCTGTGATCTGTACATTACATGCATTACGCATCTGCAGAGTCAAATAACTTTATCCTTAGTTTCTATTGAGATTTAATACAATAGTTTTAAATATACAGCAAAGAGTTCAAATTGTCAATGTCTTCAGTTTCACTTTCAGCAAAACTGAAAGTAATAGCAAATTCACATTTTATAACAAAACCTTTACCTTCTGTTGCTTGTTTCAGATTATTAAATAAAGTCACAGTGAATCCTTCACGTTCCTGTTTGGGGTCAAAGGACGCAGATACTGAAACTCCACGGAGACCCAGCGGGAGGAAAGAAGAAATCTACCTGCTGAGATCCACCTGTACAGATCTAACTGAACAGATCTACCTGCTGAGAGCTACCTGAACAGATCTAACTGAACAGATCTACCTGTACAGAGCTACCTGAACAGAGCTACCTGAACAGATCTAACTGAACAGATCTACCTGTACAGATCTACCTGAACAGATCTAACTGAACAGATCTACCTGAACAGATCTACCTGAACAGATCTACCTGAACAGATCTACCTGAACAGATCTACCTGCTGAGAGCTACCTGAACAGATCTACCTGTACAGATCTACCTGAACAGATCTACCTGTACAGATCTACCTGCTGAGAGCTACCTGAACAGATCTAACTGAACAGATCTACCTGAACAGATCTACCTGCTGAGAGCTACCTGAACAGATCTAACTGAACAGATCTAACTGAACAGATCTACCTGAACAGATCTACCTGCTGAGAGCTACCTGAACAGATCTAACTGAACAGATCTACCTGAACAGATCTACCTAAACAGATCTACCTGAACAGATCTACCTGCTGAGAGCTACCTGAACAGATCTACCTGAACAGATCTACCTGAACAGATCTACCTGAACAGATCTACCTGAACAGATCTACCTGAACAGATCTACCTGAACAGATCTACCTGAACAGATCTACCTGAACAGATCTACCAGCAGGTAGATCTATTTAAGTCTCTCTATGCTGTAAACCAGCCTGTTTGTTAGCTCCACTGTAACATACTGTGATGAGTCACAGATTAATTGAATATGAAAATATATTTTTCATTCTATTTTTTCTTTTGTCTTTATTATATTTTAATAATTTGCTTTCATGTTGAAATTGTTTTCAAAAACCAACATGCTTGATCATTTTCTTTAATAATCATAATGATGCCAATATTCACCAAACACAATAACAATGAAACACATCAGCAGCTTAACAATGAATCAGTTCTGCTGGTTTAAAGGATCTTTTGTTTTGATATTTTAATATTATGTCACTTTGTTTGTTTGCAATGATCCAGTTTTAGCCTCTAAAGTCTGAATCTGTCTTTAGATTTTGTGATTTTATACCAAGCTGCTCTGAAAAACATTTCTTTAGTTGTGGCAGAATGTGATTGGCTGTTCAAATCCTGGACAGGAAGTCGGTCAGAACTTCAGTCTGGACCCGACCAACACCTTTCATCACGGTTCCACTTTAACAACCTGGTTTTGATGAAAACATGTCACAAACTATAACAATAATGATTACAATAATAATGTTATTGTCACCAAAGGAAACTCAATGAGTTGAAGTTTATAAAATCATCTCCAATATTTGGTTTCATTAAAATGCTTCATTTAATGAGACATAAAAACAAAAAGATGCAGCCGACCTCAGTTATATCAGCTGATGAAAACCTTTAAAAATGGTGAAATGTTTCAGTTTCTACTCAGTAAAAAGTAACGCCATGCCAGCAGGAACCAGAACCCCCTGGGCCACCTTTAGGTCCGGCCCTGGTTCCTCCTCAACATTTCCTCTGGAGGTCGGTGATCAGGTGTGGCTCTTTCTCCTGAAGGATGGAGAGGAAAATGTCTTTGCATTCGTCAGCAGCTCTGAGGCAGGAGAAGATTTCCCTCAGCTGAGCCTCAGAGGTCGGCAGAGATCGGATCCTGTCGTAGGTTTCCTCCATCAGAACTTTGTTCTGTAAAAGTCCATCTAAGACGGGTTCTACATTCCTCACTCTCTGGATCAGTGTCTCTCTGTGTTTGTCCACAAAATGTTCCTCTGATGAAAAACAGAAAAAGACTAAAAAAAAAACTGATTTCTGTACGTTAGACAGCCTGAATGTAAATGCAAGTTGTTAATTTATTAATATAGAAAACTGTCAGTTTTGTTTAATATTCACATGCAGAACGATGGTTTCTATGATTTCATACCTTCTTTCTTCACAGTAACAGTTTCTGTTGAACATCCTCCACCTGACAGACAAAAACACAGAAATATTGATGATAAATTGAGTTATGATGAAGATACAGCCAGTAGTTTCCTTTCGTAACATCAAGGTGACGCAGGTCAAACTGGACTCTGTTTGTTTCCAACTAGTTCAGATGATCATTGATTAATATCTTCATAAAATGTCATTTCAATCATAAAAATCCTTCAGTGCAGATTTTTTGTAAATAAATGAAGCATCTCACCTCCAGTGGAACCAGATTTAGGATGATCATCTAAGAAATAAAGAACAGAAACAATCTCAATGTGAAACATAAATTATTAAGCTGAGGCAACGAGCTGAATGAAGTTCAGACTGAAAGTTTCCAGAAGTCATAATTATGACATAAACTGACCTTTCCTAATCTCACAGAACCAAACTTTCTCTGAATGAGTCTGCAGCAGCTCCAGGTTGAAGTTTTCGTCTGGACTCTCAATAAAAACCTCGTAGAAGTTTGGATCCTGGCTGTCGGGCCTCAGAGTGATTTCCTGTGAAGCAACAAGTCACTTTGACTCTGAGGTCAAAACGGTTCAGGGAATAAAATCAACCTGCAGATTAAGGATTATGACACCAGATTCACTCTGGGATTAAAATATCAGAACCAAAGTGGACTGAAACGAAACGTGAGTTCCTCAAACCAAAGGTTCCCAAACTTAAGGTTCCCAAACCAAAGGTTCCCAAATAGAAGGTTCCCAAACAGAAAGTTCCCAAACTAAAGGTTCCCAAACAGAATGTTCCCAAACCAAAGGTTCCCAAAAAAGAAGGTTCCCAAATTAAAGTTTCCCAAACTAAAGGTTCCCAAACAGAAGGTTCCCAAACTGAATGTTCCCAAACAGAAGTTTCCTAAACAGAAAGTTCCCAAACTAAAGGTTCCCAAACAAAAAGTTCCCAAACAGAAGTTTCCCAAACTGAAGAATCCCAAACTAAATGTTCCCAAACCGAAGGTTCCCAAACAAAAGGTTCCCAAACTGAAGGTTCCCAAACAGAAGTTTCCCAAACAAAAGGTTCCCAAACTGAAGGTTCCCACACACTCAGGTGTTGTGTGTTGTTCTGTGATTGGCTCAGGTTTTGGTCGCTGATCGTAAACATCGCCTGCGTTTCTCATAAATTCCTTCATTTCCCACAATCTGAATGAATGCCAGTAAATGTGTTGCTGAGCCGTCAGTCAGAGTCACGCTAACGTCTTTGTGTTTGTGCTGACCGGATCCGCTCACGGTCGGATCCAACCCGGTTGCATGTGAACTCAGTTTCCTGTGACAGAAACTCGGTATCAGGTCAGAGTCTGCAGTCCATCTGTGTGAGTCTCTACAGAGAGATGTTCGCCTGAGTATGTGGGCCTTCCAGTCCAAACGGTACCGGTGGCTGGATTCTGGCCGTCTCTACGGTGGCCTGGAGGCTGAATCCACGGTCCATCTTCAGAGGCTTGTCTGGGCGGGGCTTCATGATTTCTTCGTATCCCTTGGAGGATTCTCTCCTGTGGACCGACTGTAGGACAGAAACCAGAAAGCAGCCCAGGTGTTTTTAACTAAACACAGAAACACTGAAGCAATAAAATGTTAAATGGTTTGTGAAACTCTTGATCTGATCCAAAGGAACCCAAAGAGCTTGAAACTAGTCAGTGATTCACACTGACGACCAATCAGAAGAGAGTCCTCTCTCCCAGGAAGTGACAGCAACAACCTGCTGCCATGTTGCAAAGAAACGGAAATACTGTAAATTATATGATATTCATTGGTTCCATAATGAGGAAGTTCATAAAAGTAAAAAAGATCCTTGATATTGAAATGTTCAGCATCATGGGACCGCTGAAATAAAAGTTCACCTGAGAATAATGATGAAGAAATCAAGTCTGGATTTATATCAACCGGAGTTTCACCCTTTCATCACTGTAAATATGATTAATATCTAAACTGAGCGTTCAGCTTGTATTGGTGCCGTTAAACATTAAATCAGTTTAAGAACTGAGGAGTTAAAACTAAACATCTCTGATCACAGAAACAAAGTTTTAATAATCTTTCCAGCTCAGATGTTTTTATTTAAAACTTCAAGTTTAAAGTCGATGCTGCAGGATTTAACAAGAAGACGTGGGATTGGATTAATCTGTGATTGTTTTCATTTATTGGATTAAAACATGTTTAAACATCTCTAATGATATAAAATCTAATAAATTTAATAATAATGATATAAATTTTTGTTTTATATCATTATTATTATTAATATGCTCCATCCCTTCCTTATCAAGCTGTCTGTTTAATTATTAAAACAGATTTAAATGTAAAAATGATTTAATATGGATAAATAAAGAATATAATGAAATAAATAACCAATCACCTGTTTCAGAGCAGGATCCGGTGGAATCAGGTAGACGTGCATCTTCAGGTAGGACGTTTTGGGCTGGTAGTAAATTAATGTGTTGCAGATGATTCTTGGAGAAAAGAAAAGATTTCTCAGAGCTCCCAGCAAAGAGAAAACTGGTTCTGTTAACCCGACATGGGTCTTTGTGACCCGGGTCGCTTTCTCCAGAACATCTCCACAGTCGCCAACATGGAGGACAGCAAAGTTCTTCAGTAACTCAGGAACATCGTCTGAAACGCAGCAGAAACAGAAACTCTGTGAGAAACTTCTGGATCGGTTCTGAAAACAGAAATCATGTTTTTCATGATGTTGTCCTACCGGTGCAGACCCAGTGTGGCAGCTGCACCTCCATCACCTTCCCAGTAAGGACAGAGATGTCCAGCAAAGGTCCAGCAGGCCGGTATCCTCTGCTCTCCATCCTCTCCATGTGTCCGACCCAGGAGCAGAACCGGTACCGAAAGCCCACCTTCTCCCTGCAGACCCAACGCAGACCAGAGACGCTGCATTCAAAGTGTCCCGCTGCAGACTGGAGGCTGAAACCAAACATGAAGAAGAAGTTTGAGGTGATGATGTCACAGTTTGACCTGCTGACCTCCAGGTTCTGAGGTTTTACCTGTAAGTGGGATCTTCATCCGGAGACGTCCCGTCCAGCTCAGGGTCCACTTTGGTCCAGCTGCTGGAGTCCTGCTGCACCACATCATCCCACATGTTGATCTTTCACATGTTATATAGATTAAACACAGGGTCAAAGGTGAGGACTAGAAAACACGTAGATTACCTCCACACTTCCACAATCCACAGAATCCACACTTGTTGAAGTTTCTTCTGGAAACACGTTGAAGCAGGAGAGTTAAAATCCTGAACCGGACCAGAACATTCACAATTCTCATTTTATACAGTTATTAAATGTTATCGTTCTGGGTTTCCCATCAAGCAGAACCTTCATCATCAGTTCCTCTGCCTTCTGGATCTGTTGTTGTGGTGTACCACATGGCTCAACGCCCGGCTCCCTATCAAAGCTCTGCAGGTGAAACGAGCCGACAAGTTCAGACACCCTGAACCAGCACCAGGTTTAATCCAGAACTAATCTGCTGATAAATCACAGCTCTGTGGTTTCTCTCCCTGTAATCTGTCCGCATCTTGGTTTCTAACCACGACAGAAATCCTCACCAGGCTGGAAGAAGAGATTAAATAATTTGGTTTCTGGTCTTTGCTTTATTAGAACTGGATCTTCTCCAGGTATGAAAAATGGTTTCATACGAACCAAATATCAGTTTCACACATCCGGGTAATGGATGATATGATGTAATGATGTAATGATGTAATGATGTAATGATGTAATGATGTAACGATGTAATGATGTAATGATGTAATGATGTCATGATGTAATGATGTCATGATGTAATGATGTACTGATGTCATGATGTAACGATGTCATGATGTAATGATGTAATGATGTCATGATGTAATGATGTAATGATGTAATGATGTCATGATGTCATGATGTAATGATGTAATGATGTAATGATGTAACAATGTCATGATGTAATGATGTAATGATGTAACGATGTAACAATGTAATGATGTAATGATTTCATGATGTAACGATGTCATGATGTAATGATGTCATGATGTAACGATGTCATGATGTAATGATGTAATGATGTAATGATGTAATGATGTAACAATGTAATGATGTAATGATGTAATGATGTAACGATGTAATGATGTCATGATGTAATGATGTAATGATGTAATGATGTAAAGATGTAATGATGTAATGATGTAATGATGTAATGATGTAAAGATGTAATGATGTAATGATGTAATGATGTAAAGATGTCATGATGTAACGATGTCATGATGTAACGATGTCATGATGTAATGATGTAATGATGTAATGATGTAACAATGTAATGATGTAATGATGTAACGATGTCATGATGTAATGATGTAATGATGTAATGATGTAACGATGTAATGATGTAATGATGTAATGATGTAATGATGTAATGATGTAACAATGTAATGATGTAATGATGTAACAATGTAATGATGTAATGATGTAATGATGTAACGATGTAATGATGTAATGATGTAATGATGTAATGATGTAACAATGTAACGATGTAATGATGTAATGATGTAACAATGTAATGATGTAATGATGTAATGATGTAACGATGTAACAATGTAATGATGTAATGATGTAATGATGTAATGATGTAACAATGTAATGATGTAATGATGTAATGATGTAACGATGTAACGATGTAATGATGTAATGATGTAATGATGTAACAATGTAATGATGTAATGATGTAATGATGTAACGATGTAATGATGTAATGATGTAACAATGTAATGATGTAATGATGTAATGATGTAACGATGTAATGATGTAATGATGTAATGATGTAACGATGTAACAATGTAATGATGTAATGATGTAATGATGTAACAATGTAATGATGTAATGATGTAATGATGTAAGGATGTCATGATGTAATGATGTAATGATGTAATGATGTAATGATGTAATGATGTAACGATGTAACAATGTAATGATGTAATGATGTAATGATGTAACGATGTAATGATGTAATGATGTAATGATGTAATGATGTAACGATGTAACAATGTAATGATGTAATGATGTAACAATGTAATGATGTAATGATGTAACGATGTAACAATGTAATGATGTAATGATGTAATGATGTAACAATGTAATGATGTAATGATGTAATGATGTAACGATGTAACAATGTAATGATGTAATGATGTAACGATGTAACAATGTAATGATGTAATGATGTAATGATGTAAGGATGTCATGATGTAACGATGTCATGATGTCATGATGTAATGATGTAATGATGTAATGATGTAAAGATGTAATGATGTAATGATGTAATGATGTAAAGATGTCATGATGTAACGATGTCATGATGTAATGATGTAATGATGTCATGATGTAACGATGTAATGATGTAATGGCCTCTTTAGTTTGTTTTTCAGATCAGCAAAATCTGTTCAGAAACAAAACAACTGATTTGATCAATGGGACATAAAATTTTATAGAAAATGGGATTTTATATCAATGCCAAGTAGTTTTTACAGTATTACTGTATGATTAGATCAAGGACAAATAATTAGTTTACATTTTAAAACGTTTCTCCAACCTGCAGCAGCTTTTGGTCAAAGTTATGAGGCAGAACCCAGCAGAACCCAGCAGAACCCAGGAGAACCCAGGAGACCCAGCAGAACCCAGAAGAACCCAGGAGACCCAGCAGAACCCAGAAGAACCCAGGAGACCCAGAAGAACCCAGGAGACCCAACAGAACCCAGCAGAACCCAGGAGACCCAGCAGAACCCAGAAGAACCCAGGAGACCCAGCAGAACCCAGGAGACCCAGCAGAACCCAGAAGAACCCAGCAGAACCCAGGAGACCCAGCAGAACCCAGCAGAACCCAGAAGAACCCAGGAGACCCAGCAGAACCCAGGAGACCCAGCAGAACCTGGCAGAACCCAGGAGACCCAGCAGAACCCAGGAGACCCAGCAGAACCCAGAAGACCCAGCAGAACCCAGCAGAACCCAGGAGACCCAGCAGAACCCAGAAGAACCCAGCAGAACCCAGGAGACCCAGCAGAACCCAGAAGAACCCAGCAGAACCCAGGAGACCCAGCAGAACCCAGGAGACCCAGCAGAACCCAGAAGAACCCAGCAGAACCCAGGAGACCCAGCAGAACCCAGAAGAACCCAGCAGAACCCAGGAGACCCAGCAGAACCTGGCAGAACCCAGGAGACCCAGCAGAACCCAGAACCCAGCAGAACCCAGAAGAACCCAGCAGAACCCAGGAGACCCAGCAGAACCCAGAAGAACCCAGCAGAACCCAGGAGACCCAGCAGAACCCAGGAGACCCAGCAGAACCTGGCAGAACCCAGGAGACCCAGCAGAACCCAGGAGACCCAGCAGAACCCAGGAGACCCAGCAGAACCCAGAACCCAGGAGACCTAGCAGAACCCAGAAGAACCCAGGAGACCCAGCAGAACCCAGAAGAACCCAGCAGAACTCAGAACCCAGGAGACCCAGCAGAACCTGGCAGAACCCAGGAGACCCAGAAGAACCCAGCAGAACCCAGCAGAACCCAGAAGAACCCAGGAGACCCAGCAGAACCCAGGAGACCCAGCAGAACCCAGGAGACCCAGCAGAACCCAGAAGAACCCAGCAGAACCCAGGAGACCCAGCAGAACCAGCAGAACCCAGAAGAACCCAGCAGAACCCAGGAGACCCAGCAGAACCCAGGAGACCCAGCAGAACCCAGCAGAACCCAGCAGAACCCAGAAGAACCCAGGAGACCCAGCAGAACCTGGCAGAACCCAGGAGACCCAGAAGAACCCAGGAGACCCAGCAGAACCCAGAAGAACCCAGCAGAACCCAGAAGAACCCAGGAGACCCAGCAGAACCCAGCAGAACCCAGGAGACCCAGCAGAACCCAGAAGAACCCAGCAGAACCCAGAAGAACCCAGCAGAACCCAGGACCCAGCAGAACCCAGAAGAACCCAGCAGAACCCAGAAGAACCCAGCAGAACCCAGGAGACCCAGCAGAACCGGAGACCCAGCAGAACCCAGCAGAACCCAGGAGACCCAGCAGAACCCAGCAGAACCCAGGAGACCCAGCAGAACCCAGGAGACCCAGCAGAACCCAGCAGAACCCAGGAGACCCAGCAGAACCCAGCAGAACCCAGGAGACCCAGCAGAACCCAGCAGAACCCAGCAGAACCCAGAAGAACCCAGGAGACCCAGCAGAACCCAGCAGAACCCAGCAGAACCCAGAAGAACCCAGGAGACCCAGCAGAACCCAGCAGAACCCAGCAGAACCCAGAAGAACCCGGCGTCGGTCACCTTTCATCCCGGCTCGGCTCCTTGGCAGCATCTGCAGCAGATCGGTTCTGTTCATGACCCTGAAGATGCTCCTGGTTCTCTCCACCGACCCGGCTCCCTCCTCCTCCACCATCACCCTCACCAGGTCGGTTCTGTTCTGGATCTCTGCCGGACTCCAGGTTCTGGTGTGAGGGAACTGGTCTGGCCGGCCGTCGCTGCAGGAAGCGTTTAAACTCCTGGAACCCGTTCGGGTTCAGCCGGTCGACGGTTTCCAGGAGGAGATTCTTCACAGCCGCCATCGTTGCCACCTGGAACGTTCAGGATGATATCAGGTCCAGTCCGGTCCAGCAGAACCTGAGCCACCTGGTAACTATGCACTAATAAATCAATGCTTTTTCACAGAAACTAATGACTGAATGTATTAATATTAATGTCATTGCTTTTCCCAGCTGAGATCCTTTAAGTGTATTTTTTATGCATCATCGTTTATTTCAACATGAAGTTTTAGAATCAACACTAAAGTAAATTGTTTGTTAAAATGTTGACACAACAACTTAGGAATAAACCAGAAGAAAAAACTAAAGAATAACATAAAGTAACTGGAGCTGCTGAGTCCAAAGGAGACAGGAAGAGGTCATGGGGTCCTCAGTTCTGATGCCCCAATAATGCCTGATGGTTTTTACATTCTATTCATGTCTGATGGTGTTGACAAAAACTTGGGACACATTTCAATGGAGTTCAAAAATATATGAAAATAATTTTTAATTGTTTATTTATGGATACTTTTATAATCATTTATTGAATATTTATACTTAGTTGTCATGATATTTTATCTTACTATTCATTTATTGTTTTATGCTATTAGAATGTATTGAGTTTTGCTCCAGGACAAGAGATTTTAAAGGCACCGTCCACCTGCTGCAATGTTTAAAATAAAAAACATTCATCAACCACCAGGAAAACATGCAGGTTAGTTTAGTCCCATATTTGAATAAATTACTTTTTCTGAATATTTTATTCAAATTTTGTTCTTTGTCCAAAGGACCTGCTTTGTCCCTGTCCTCAAGAATCACTGAAATGATAAAACTAATTTAAGGAAAATCACAGGACAACCTGTAGTTTGTCCCCTGAAGTAAAATGTCAAGAAAAGGCAGAACAGCAGGAGGTCCAGCAGGTTCTGCCATGTTACACTGTAAAACAACAACCGGACTGATTTCAGGTTTAACTTCAATATCAGCAGATCAGAATGAGAAATATAAAAATAATAACCTGTCCAATAGTGGAAAACAATGAATAACTAAAAGCAATAAACTGTCAGATATCGTTCAGTAAAATAGCAGGTTGAAAATGGGTAGCAGGAAAAACACAAGATGACATGGAAACCTTCCATAAGTGCAACACATTAAGCATTTAATCTACCAACTAAACACCAGCTGTATGCTTAGTTTGTGAATTAAATACTTAGAAAGGAAGCTAAATAATTAGTTTAACTATTAATATTTGGTTCCCAAGTAGATGTTTAATTTGAAGTTAATTATTAGCCAAACAAATATTCAACTTGCATGCTAAATATTTACCTACAAATTTAATATTTTGTTAAATAAGTTAAGTAAATGTTTATATTCAAAACTAAGCATTTTATTTTCAAATGTTTATTTTACAAACTAAATGTTTAGTTCATACTTAAATAGTTAGCTAACTAATAAAATATTTAGTTGTATAAAATATTTATTTTGGAGCTAAATTTCTTAGTAAACTAAATATTTAGCTTTCAAATAAAACATTTCAAAATGAACATTTATCTTGTGAATTAAATGATAAATTTGGATCTCTGATCTGGATTGTTTCTCACCTTCTGGATCGGAGCGGATTTCCATTTTCCCACAACAGATTTCTCTAACGGACGAAGAGGAAAAACATTAATGTCATTAAATCTCGACTGTAACGTGATGGAGTGTTATTATTGTACTTTATTGTCTCACTTTCTGTGGATTTGATCAGAGCGAACTCCAGATCGGGCCTCCGCATTCTGGACAGCAGCTCCTGCATCTTGTCCACCGGACGCTGGCTGAACGTCTGCACCAGCAGCAGCACGGTTTCCTGCAGGTCTGCATTTATGGCCAGCAGCCTCCAATAGATGCTTAAATAAGGACAGTCATCCAAATCCCAGCTCAGGGTGTTTCTGATATCTTTTACATCCTGCAGGGTCAGATCATCAAACTCTTCCAGCAGCATCTTTATGACAGACTCCATCTGTTTTACCTGATGAAACATTTCAGGCCTCAGATCAGGAAGAGATGGAACCACAACAGGCTGACAGCCAGTCAGATCAGGTTAGACTCACTTTCTGCTTCAGTTCAGGCCAAAAATCCATCAAAGAAAGTTTCCCTGCAGATCACAGATCCAGGCATTTAGGCCTCAAATTTAAACATTTGTAGCCTAAAAGTTTATATTTAGATTGTAGAGGAAATGAAAGATATAACTTCTGTTTTTTAAATTCAATATGCTGGAGCTCAATAAGTTGAGCTTTTGAAACTAAAAACATTGCAAAATAAAGACTTCTGTAGAAACTACTGAGTTAGGATTATTAAATTGCTCCAAAATAAATATTTAATATGCAACTAAATATTTACCTGACTTGTTAAATATTTTATTAGTTAGCCAACTATTAAAGTATGAACTAAATATTTAGTTTGTAAAATAAACATTTGAATATTAAAAGCATAGTTTTGAATATAAACATTTACTTAACTTATTTATCAAAATAAATATTTAATTTGGAGGAAAATATTTAGCAAGCAAGTTAAATATTTATTTGGCTAATAATGAGTTAAAAAAATAATAAAATGATCCAACTCTACATTTGAATATTGGTGCAAAATTACTGCAGATATTTAAACTCAACCTTTGGGCAGATCTGGAGTCCAGGGTCAGTTTTTCAGTTTAGAGTTAATTAAAACTGCAGAATTTCTCTCTAATTTTGCAATAAAAACACAAAATAAGACAAAGAGTCTATTTTCAAAATATGTTGTTGTAAAGAAATCCAGTGCTGTTCTGTAAACGACTTTACCTTTAGAGCTGGAAGCGTCCAGAGGAAGCTTGTCCACCAGGTCCGATCTGTCCAGGTCCATCAGAACCTCCTGAGTCAGCGCCAGGCACCGATCGCCGCAGCTGCTCCACATCATACTCACTAATTCTGTGCGGTTTGAAAACTGCAGGTTGCTCCATGGGATCTGAGGCAGAACCTGCTGGAACTGCGTCAGCTGCAGGAACCATTTGAACTTGCAGAACTCGACGTCTTTCAGGTCCGTCAGGATTTCCAGCAGCAGGTCCTTCATGACGGCCACAGCGGACACCTGAAATATCCCATCAGCTGCAACTGGTCAAGGTCCTTTGTGTTTACTGGTCAGATAATTTGTACTTAGAACAAATTAAGTACAAATTATCTGAAGGAAGAAACTCTTATTAAATTTATAAAACTGAATATTTGTCCTGAAAAATTCTGTTGTGAACATCGTCTGGAATCAAACTGTGATCAAAAACACAGAATTAGAGAAATCAAATATTTAAGTATACAAACAAATCTCTCTATAGGTTTGGTTTATTTCTAACGTTATTTATCCTCAAATTTAATCAAACCTTCAACCCTCAAAATACAAATAATCAAAAAAAACATTATTCCCCTTTTTGATATAATTTTGACTTCTCAAAAAATATATTTATGTATCTTAAATTATAAAATAGAACATTTTACATGACATATACTACATTTAAACATATAAATCCAAAGCAGTCGGCATGCATGGAGTAAAACAGCTTTTAGCCTCTTTCATCACATTACTGCAGAAACTCAGCAGTTGAATTGTTTTGCTGGTAAATTTAAAGAAAATACTAAATATTTCTGCAGGATAAACATTCTGTTTTAAATTTATGTATAAAGAAGTCAGTTTTAGTAAATGGTCAGCATGCGACTCTAATCCACCACTCAGCCTTTTATGACTGTTCATCAAACCAAAGTAGGAATATTAATGAGTCTCACATGAGTCCCAAACAAGTAAGAAATAGAAGTAACTTCTATTGTTATAACAACAGTAATATAGTTGCAATAATATTAATTTTTATCGCCACCCAATTATGATGATCATGAGGGTTTTATCTGCAGCATCACACAGATCAGGTGAGTCACTCACTCTGTGGATTTCTGCAGACAGATGATCATCAAAACGTTTTCTGGAGAGAAAAGAAAACATCTAAAAAATAAAGTTTGAAAACAGAATAACTATTATATGTACAGTTTGCATCTCTTGCTTTATCCTGTAAATGTTGAGTCTCCGTACTTTTGGCTGTGGAGCTGCCGTCCTGCATGGCGTCGACCAGATCCGTCCTGTTCATGGACTTCAGAACCTGCCGGGTCAGTTCCACGGACCGCCAGCCGCCGACCAGAACCAACGAACACACAACTGCCTGCAGCGCCTGCTGAACCTCACCGGGCCTCAGACAGCGCCGTCTCCGCAGGAGGTCACTGAAGGTCACCAGCTCACTGGGACTCAGCTCACCCAGAGTGACCAGCAGCAGCTCCACCTTGGACTCCATCAACTCCACCTGCTCAGGTGAGAAACATAAAAAGACCAGAGAAAGATTTAAAACTGAGAGGAAAATGTTCAAATTAACTTTCAAATATCAGAAAAGAGACAATATAAGGTTGGATGGATGGATGGATGGATGGATGGATGGATGGATGATGGATGGATGGATGGATGGATGGATGGATGGATGGATGGATGGATGATGGATGGATGGATGGATGATGGATGGATGGATGGATGGATGGATGATGGATGGATGGATGATGGATGGATGGATGGATGGATGGATGATGGATGGATGGATGGATGGATGGATGGATGATGGATGGATGGATGGATGGATGGATGGATGGATGATGGATGGATGGATGGATGGATGGATGGATGGATGGATGATGGATGGATGGATGGATGATGGATGGATGGATGGATGGATGGATGGATGATGGATGGATGATGGATGGATGGATGGATGGATGGATGATGGATGGATGGATGGATGATGGATGGATGGATGGATGGATGGATGGATGAGGATGGATGGATGGATGGATGGATGGATGGATGATGGATCATGGATGGAGGATGGATGGATGGATGGATGATGGATGGATGGATGGATGATGGATGGATGGATGGATGGATGGATGGATGGATGATGGATGGATGATGGATGGATGGATGGATGGATGGATGATGGATGGATGGATGGATGGATGGATGGATGGATGGATGGATGGATGGATGGATGGATGGATGGATGATGGATCATGGATGGATGATGGATGGATGGATGGATGGATGGATGATGGATGGATGATGGATGGATGATGGATGGATGGATGGATGGATGGATGGATGGATGGATGATGGATGGATGATGGATGGATGGATGGATGGATGGATGGATGGATGGATGGATGGATGGATGGATGATGGATGGATGGATGGATGGATGGATGGATGATGGATGGATGGATGGATGATGGATGGATGGATGGATGGATGGATGATGGATGGATGGATGGATGGATGGATGATGGATGGATGATGGATGGATGGATGGATGGATGGATGGATGATGGATGGATGGATGGATGGATGGATGGATGGATGGATGGATGGATGGATGGATGGATGGATGGATGGATGGATGATGGATCATGGATGGATGATGGATGGATGGATGGATGGATGGATGATGGATGGATGGATGGATGGATGGATGGATGGATGATGGATGATGGATGGATGATGGATGGATGGATGGATGGATGGATGGATGATGGATGGATGATGGATGGATGGATGGATGGATGGATGGATGGATGGATGATGGATGGATGGATGGATGGATGGATGATGGATGGATGGATGGATGATGGATGGATGGATGGATGGATGGATGGATGGATGATGGATGGATGATGGATGGATGGATGGATGGATGGATGGATGATGGATGGATGATGGATGATGGATGGATGGATGGATGGATGATGGATGGATGATGGATGGATGGATGGATGGATGGATGATGGATGGATGATGGATGGATGGATGGATGGATGGATGGATGGATGGATGATGGATGGATGGATGGATGGATGGATGATGGATGGATGGATGGATGATGGATGGATGGATGGATGGATGGATGGATGGATGGATGATGGATGGATGATGGATGGATGGATGGATGGATGGATGATGGATGGATGGATGATGATGGATGGATGGATGGATGGATGGATGATGGATGGATGGATGGATGATGGATGGATGATGGATGGATGGATGGATGGATGATGGATGGATGGATGGATGGATGGATGGATGGATGGATGATGGATGGATGATGGATGGATGGATGGATGGATGGATGATGGATGGATGGATGGATGGATGGATGGATGATGGATGGATGGATGGATGGATAGATGATGGATGATGGATGGATGATGGATGGATGGATGGATGATGGATGATGAATGGATGAATGGATGGATGATGGATGGATGATGGATGAATGGATGATGGATGATGAATGGATGAATGATGAATGGATGATGAATGGATGGATGATGGATGGATGAATGATGAATGGATGATGAATGGATGGATGATGAATGGATGATGGATGGATGATGAATGGATGGATGAATGGATGATGGATGGATGATGGATGGATGGATGGATGGATGATGAATGGATGATGGATGGATGATGAATGGATGGATGGATGTATTTGAGTTTTAACTCAATGTTTCTTGGTTTCATGATGGGACCAAAACAGAAATGAAAAATAAAAATGAATCAAAACAACTTTATGAATAAATCCCAACACGAAGATCAAAGTCAGATTTCTCTTTTCTTCTCTTTCTGCTCAGATTTAAAATAAAAACAATAAAATCTGATGAATCCGGAAGAAACCAGAAAATGAAACTAAATAAATCATCTGCTCTGCAGTTCACTCCTTTATTCTGACGTCAGCAATATGCAAATGAAGCGGGCGGCGACGCGTTGTGAAAAACACGAGAACAAAATGTTTCATCCTGGTGAAAAGACCAGGATGAAGACCTGCAGGTGATGCGGAAGTGAATGTGTGGAGGTGTGGATGCGGCAGGAAGCGCTGCACGCGGTTACTGGACATGAATGAGTCCAAGAAGGAAACATCTCCTACCTGCTGCTGGAGTTTCGTCTCTGAAATCCTGCAGCGGTTCTTCATTTCACGTCAGGATCGGGTTTTGGAGGAGCTGCAGACTGCCGCCTCTCAGGCCTGGTGTTTCACACAGACTGGTGTTCAGATCAAGTGCTGACCGGAACCTGACAGAGAGGAGGAGCTTCTGAGGATCTGCAGCTCAGCCACAACATCCGGTTGAACTGCAAACTCTTCCTCCAACTTTAACCAGTAAAAGGGGAAAAATGTCATTTTTACCCTTTGAAAATCTAAAAGCATAAATATGTTCAGTGTTTGGCTTCCTGATCCAAAACTCATTTTTCTTAAACAAAACGTCCTCATCTCTTTTCACTCCCTTTTATTTTAGTCAGGCGCGCTTTGGTCGCCCTTCCTGCAGAAGCGGCCGTCTGTCTGCCAAACCAGCAGATCTGAAACTCTGACAGTTTGTTCTGTTCGTGAGAAAAGTTTGTGTTTCTCCTGGAGGTCCAGTTTCTCCTCAGAACCGGCTGAACCGCAGAGCGCGTCACGCAGCAGGTTTCCACAGCAGCCTGAAACCCACCGGAGTGGGTCGGTCCGGTGGAGCAGCAGGGAGCTGGTTCTGTTGGACTGTTTCTGAGGAGCAGCTGCAGGGGAAATCTGCTTCATCAGGATATTTTCAAGGTATTTTTTGCTGCAAACGCATCAGTTTAGCAGAACACAGAAGGATCCATTATTTCAGCTGAAACTACTCTAGTGACGTAAATTCGTGATTAGCCTGACTTACAGTGAGCTGAATATCCTCAAGTTCAACATACTTAGTATATTTATTTTTTATCAGGGTGCTTTCCATTGATAGAACATGAAACTGTTCTATTAATAAACCTGAGAGGAAAAAGAATCAACTCATAACTTTTGATTCATAAACAATCTGTGTCACTGAAACTGTGATGCTGCGTAAAACATCCAGTTTGCAGCATTCATGGTGAATTTCTGGTGTTTTTCTCCAGGTTGGAACGATGGAGGAGAGCCAGATCCTGGTTGAAACCCTGAAGCTGCTGAGCCTGGAGGACTTTGCCCGGTTCAGGACTCTGGCTGAAGCAGAGCCGAGCTTGGTGACTGCCTCTCCAGGGCCGGTCCGAGCCTTGAGTGGTACCAATGCCAATGTGTCAACACCAAATGATTTATCATCCAAAGCAACTCTATGTGTGTAGCACACATACTAGCATTAGCATTCATTGTACCAGCGCCATTATCACTTTTGATTTCAACATTACAAATGATGGATGATGGACACTGAAACTCCTGAGTCCTGCACAAACAAACTTAGACCCTCAGTTTCCCAGGCCGTCTGTCCTTAAACGGGACGCAAGACGAGCCCAGAGTCACCAGTTTATCTGAGATCTGAAACTCTTTTCTCCTTTGGGTCTGTTTACATGGCAGCACCAGCCTGAACCAGAACCAGTCCAGGTCCAGGCTGCACTGGTACAGCCTGGACCTGGACAGGACCTGCACCTGGACCTGGACCTGGACCTGAACCTGGACCTGGACCTGAACCTGGACCTGGACCTGCACTGGACCTGGACCTGGACCTGGACCTGGACCTGCACTGGACCTGCACCTGGACCTGGACCTGGACCTGGACTTGGACCTGCACCTGGACCTGGACCTGGACCTGGACCTGGACCTGGACCTGCACCTGGACCTGCACCTGGACCTGGACCTGGACCTGGACCTGGACCTGCACTGGACCTGCACCTGGACCTGGACCTGGACCTGGACCTGGACCTGGACCTGCACCTGGACCTGGACCTGCACCTGGACCTGCACTGGACCTGCACCTGGTCCTGGACCTGGACCTGGACCTGGACCTGGACCTGGACCTGGACCTGGACCTGGACCTGCACCTGGACCTGGACCTGCACCTGCACCTGCACCTGGACCTGGACCTGGACCAGGACCTGGACCAGTGCAGCCTGGACCAGAACCAGTCCAGCTCCAGGCTGCACTGGTACAGCCTGGACTTGGACCTGGACCTGCACCTGCACCTGCACCTGCACCTGCACCTGCACCTGCACCTGGACCTGGACCTGGACCTGGACCTGGACCTGGACCTGCACCTGCACCTGCACCTGGACCTGGACCTGGACCTGGACCTGGACCTGCACCTGCACCTGCACCTGGACCTGGACCTGCACCTGCACCTGCACCTGCACCTGCACCTGCACCTGCACCTGGACCTGGACCAGGACCTGGACCAGTGCAGTCTGGACCAGAACCAGTCCAGCTCCAGGCTGCACTGGTACAGCCTGGACCTGGACCTGGACCTGGACCTGGACCTGGACCTGGACCTGGACCTGGACCTGGACCAGTGCAGCTTCAATGCTTTCTGCATGTTTGTTGGCCAGAACTCAACATTTCAGTCTCTTAGTGTTAGGGGCTCCCCCTGCTGGTCGCATCTGGTTCTTGCATCTTCAGAATTAAATTAGACATTCATATTTTTAAACCCAAATTACTGACAAACACTTTGTAAATTTAAATAACATTGTTGAAGTCTGTAATCCATACAACGTGCTGATATGTCTGGAGTCATATTAAATATTTCTCTGGCTTATAATGAACTCATTCTCATCCATCTGACTCACTTAGAAGATTCACAACTTTTAGCTGTTTGAGAAACATGGAAATTAAGATTATTCTGTTTTAATCTGTATCTGGTAATCTGCTTGTCTAAGATAATCTTAGGTGTTATCCTGATTTTTATGATAAATAAATGATCAACTTGTGTTGTTGATTGTGTTTGCTTGGAGGAAATGGACCAAAGGGAAAAATCTTACGGATACAAAGTCATCCGAAAGCCAGATCCAGACGTGCCTCTGAAAATGTCTGATGCCTTCGTCCTCACAGCCGGTCTGGAAACGGCTGAAGTTTGTCCTGAGGTACGATTCCATATGTGTATGTTTACTATGATACTGTCCAGTTCATGTTGATATTAATCCTGCATTTCAGACCAACAGTGGAAAGATGCAGCAGCTACAACCTGATCTCATTGGCTCTGCTGTTTCAGTATAAAATATTTATGAGCAATCAATATCTTACTTTAATTAGGCCAATGTCTTGCAGACAGGAGGATGGAGCTGAGCAAAATCAGCTCTAACAGGTTATAACCAAACATCCTCCGTTCTCCAATAACCTTCATTGATCCTTTATTGATCATAATAGCTGGTCTTCAAAATGTGTGTCTGTTTGTTAAATCTAAGTTTGTCTGTGAACCGTAAAATAATCTTCAAACAGAACAGCAGATTCCACATAATTTACTAAATGAAGATGAAGCCAAAGCTGTCAGGAAACCATTATTGATCGAATGCATTGATAAGCTGATCATCATATGTTATATTAGATTTGAAGAAATTATAAAGTCTTGCATAGATACAAAAACATTCATAAGAGAATGAAATAAAATAAAAAACACTGTAAAGCTGCTAAGTGATGTAACTCCAGCCATATTTATTGTTCTTACATTATTTTAATTTACATTAACTCAGTGCAGAAAGATGTTTCACTGTTTTGAACCAGTCACTGTGATTCTGTTACTGTGTTGTGATTTCTGCTCTCTGGGATCATGTGTGCAGGGATAATGAGAGGGAATCCTTATGAGACTCAAATCTTCAATATCACAGACATTTTAACTCAGTAAATCCAATCCTTCCCTCCGTCCCTGTGAACAGAAACTAAAGCTCAGGTTTGACCCCAAAAGGCCAAATTTCTTTGAAGTGTACATTAAAAATCCAGACACAGACTTCCAGATGAGACTCTCACCAGCGAAGCAGCCAGCACCGTGTGGAAGTGCACACTTCGAAAAGGTCGCTCAAACACTCACACTGACTCTCATTCATCACTTTCATAGTTTATTTTCCCTGTTTGAATTTCAGATGAATACCAAAAAACTGAGGACGGAGAAAGTAAGAGACGAGATTCTTCATTTCTGCAGATAATTTTGGGTTTTAGATTCATTTCTAAGTGTTAAGAATGAATCAACATTCTGGAGATTCAACAAAGGACAGAAAGAAATGAATCAAACATTTCTTCTCGTTTCAGCTGCAGGTGGAGCATCTGGTGTCACTTTTTCACACAATGGTGACTTTTATACGGCTCATTAAAGGAAAATAAGTGATTATTTTGTTAATAGTTCAGGTTCTGTTTGTTTTGTCCTCAGTGAATCATCACATGGATGCTCATCCGTCTCTTCTCATGCAAAAAGTGAGTCATTATCCTGGTTTCATTTTTGGATAAATGTTTGCCAGACCTTCTGGTTTGTTGAGTTTGTATTAAATTTCCTGACCACTGCTTTTGTTTTCATTTTTCTGCCTTTGCTTCTCCTCTGGTTTTAAATTACTCAGAGTCTCCCTCATTGCTCTTTGCTCAGTCAGGGCAAAAACTCTCCCACTCTACAAAATAAATACAGATGTTATTTAATTAGAGATGCAACGAAACTGATTTCATTTCCTGAACTGTGTTTCCATGTCGCCAGGCGGCTTCCCTGCGCTCAGACAGAGAGAAGATTCTGGAAGTGATCAGAGATCTGAAGCAGCAGGAACTGAAAAGGTTCCGGTTTTTCCTGAAGGACGTTGAGTCGTCGGCCTGCAGAGCAGACGGAGGAGCCGCTCCGCCGAGGATCGCAGCCGCTCAGCTGGAGAACGCAGAACCCGAAGACCTGGTGGATCTGATGCTGCAGACCTTCTGCCTGCAGGCCGTGGAGAAAACCAAGGAGATTCTCAGGAAAATACCAGGAATGACCTGCTGGGGGCGCTGTCTGGAAGCGGCTCATGATCCAAACAGGAACCACTTCCAAACAAATTCAGGACGAACTTCAGAAACATTTCACACAAATAACTCCATTCATATTTTTTATTCCCATTTTTTTCAGTGCAAATTATCAAATAAACTTCTGATGCATTTTTAGTCATTTCTGTCCAACATGAGGCCTGAAAGCTTTTTAATGGGAAACATCAGAGAAATCGACGTTAAAGCCAAAGAGTCTCAGCCAGAAGAAAGCTAACAAAGCTATGTTTAAATAATTACCTTTTAGATAATTAATCTAGCAACTGCCTAAAGAGAGACTGTGACTTTATCAAACAGGTTCTAATGGAAATAATATCCAACTGAAGACAGAAAAGGCATTATGGGACATTTATGTTTAATAAACAGGCATTCAAAGTTAAAACGTTTTTTATTAAAGTTCAACAATTCGTCCTCATGTGATTGTTTCCAGGTTAAAAGTGAACATCCTCTGCACTGTGACGGTCCACAGGGTCCTGGTCCAGCTCCACCATTTGGTCCTGGAATGTCCTTCAGTGCAGATTCTACCGCAAGTCAATGTCTGAAAGAAAACATCAGAAATGCTCTCTGGTCACAGAATCACTTTGTCATTTTGAATGGACAGCATAGAAAACATTTTCAGGCTTTTACACAGAGGAGTGAAATGTTTCTGTCGCAGCAGCAGCAGCAGGTCGTTTATAAAGGTATGTGGAAATAATCTGCTCTCTGCTGCTTTCACATTTCTCATTGTTCTTTTGTATTAACGTGATGAGTCAACGAGTTTAAGCAGGAAAAGGCAGAAGAGCTCACCATCACTGAGAGACGCATTTGAAGCTTCGTCTGCCTGTTGAGGAAAAACAACTGCAGCAATAAAAACAACATTAGTTTCTGACAAAATCCACGTCAACAGGAGGAATTCAGTCTGGAGGGTTAATGTCACAAAGCCTCTGTTTTCCTTATAAAACATCATTTCCCAGCAGCCTTTGTTCAGTCATGTGACCAAATGGTGACACTTTAGGTCATTCCTGCCATCATGTCTGCTTGGTGAACCGTCTGTCTGGACCCGATCAGGTCCGTCTGGATCTCAGCTCCATCCATCTCAGCCGACCTCACAGGCGTTTCTAACTTGGTGGAAACTTGATGTTTCTCGCTGTTGGTCAGGGAGCTTCATGCTTTACCTGCAGGCCTGTTGCTCCAGCTGCTTTGGGTCGGACTGAACCAGTAGAGCGTCCTGCCCTGCTGCAGCCTGGCAGCTGTGATGACTGGGCCTCTGCCGGCTGTGACTGAGCATCAGATCATCACCTTTCACTTCCTGCACCGTCAGACTGCAGTCCATGCTGAAGTATCAGCTTTGAACCGACAGATTTCTGCTAAAACATCCCAGCAGCTTGAATGCTGAGTAGAAAAACTAGAATCAGATAAAAAGTAAAAACTTTGTAGTTGTGACTGAAGAGCAGCGGCTGCACATCACTGAACAAAGATGGTGGGAATATTTGAGTCTGAATGAAATTTTACTAGTGCTTTGCATATTTAAATGAAATAAAGAAGTAGAGCCGACCTGCAACTGGAGCCGGAACCGGAACCGGAGCCGGGTCAGCTGTTCCTAGACCTGCTTTCTTGGCTTCTTCAGCTGCAAATATAGAAAACAATGTTTGTTTTCAACAGTTTATCGCAAATAAAGAAAATTTTAGAGATGAAAATCTGTAATGTTGATGCAGGTTCTGGGATTTGGGTTTGGGTTCGGTGTTGTCCCGTCCAGCCCTTCATTAGCTCCACCTGCTTCTTCCCCTGATCGCCTCCCTGTGGATTTAAAGCCACTTGGGTTCCTTGTTTTGTTGGGTCCGGTCTGGTTCTGGTCCGGTTCTGGTCCGGTCTGGTTCTGGTCCTAGTCCATTCCGGTCCGGTCTGCTGTCAGTCTCAGGTCTAGGGGGACAGATGTCCACTAAGGGGACAGATGTCCACTAAGGGGACGGGACAGTTTCCATGTCCTGAATGTGAGTTGAGCATTTGAGGTTCCTTAAATGGCTGTAAAAAACCAATATTCAAAATAAATTTTCACTTTCACATAATTCTGCAAAAAGATTTACAGACGTTGAAATGTTGGATTCTTTAGACTTTTGAAGAAGAGCTCACAGTGAAGGACAGAAAGTGTTTAGAGCTGCTTCATTTCACTGGCTCTGATTCAGATGCCTGGGATTCCATAGACGATGAAACGGCTGCTATAATAATACAATAATAAATAAACTGTTAACACAAAGATTTAAGGCCTTTTCAACATGAAATCAGTTTTGTTTGGCTATCTGTATTTACTATGCAAAAAGTATTTTAAATATCTTGAATTATGGCATCATTTTCATCTTGAATTAGAATTATGACTACAGTCAGAACAGAGAGATATCTCAAATTCACTTTATGACTCATCAAAACTGATCATAACTGATCAAAACTGATCATAACTGATCAAAACTCGATATTCAGTGATTCATTGCAAGTATCTTGAATTGAAGCCTCCAAACGACTGAATGATAAATCATCCAGAAATGAGAGATATATTAATTATTTAATATAATTCTATATTGTTAGATATTCTCATTTGTTTCTAGATGCACAGAAAGTTTCCATATAAGGTCAGAGGCTGACAGTGGCCCCTCCCCCTTCCTGTTTGCTCGATCTGCACCGACATGGCATTGAGGGTCAGCAGTGACCCAGATCCAAACTGGAACAAAGTAAACTGAACTGGTTCCCAGTTCCCCCAACAAAGAACAGAAAAAACTGAAACTTTGATCCGTTTTTAGGCTTCAGTGAAGGTGAAGGTGGAGACGCACTGGTTTCACTTTCTCTCTGTGAAATCACTTCATTCAGAGAGAAAACGTTCAAACATGTTAAACGGTTCGGGTTCTCCTGCTGACCTGATCGGAACCAGTGGACCCAGAAGTTGAGATATTTACCCAGTTTGTCCGCCGCCTGCTTGCAGTTGGTGTCTCTCAGGATGTCCTCTGCTTCCTGCAGGACTCTCCTCTCGGTGTAAGCTTCAACCATACATCTGTCACCACCAGGAAGTTTTTGTTCTCCACCTGGTTCGTCCTCACTACTCCCCGGTCCAGCAGTTCAGACCGGAACTTTTCAAAGTTCTTCTCTGTCAGGTTCTCCAGGATGTTCTTTAAAATGTGTTTGTGCGTCAATGAAGCCATTCTTCATAAATGATCCAGATGCTGAAGGTCTGACTCCGCCCGGAAACGTTTCCGCTCTGCTGAACCCAAGGCGGGAACGTTCTCTGCTGAACCCACGGCGGGAACGTTCTCTGCTGAACCCACAGCGGGAACGTTCTCTGCTGAACCCACGGCGGGATCGTTCTCTGCTGAACCCAAGGCGGGAACGTTCTCTGCTGAACCGACAGCGGGAACGTTCTCTGCTGAACCGACAGCGGGATCGTTCTCTGCTGAACCCAAGGCGGGAACGTTCTCTGCTGAACCCACGGCGGGAACGTTCTCTGCTGAACCGACAGCGGGAACGTTCTCTGCTGAACCGACAGCGGGAACGTTCTCTGCTGAACCCACGGCGGGAAGGTTCTCTGCTGAACCCACGGCGGGAACGTTCTCTGCTGAACCCACGGCGGGAACGTTCTCTGCTGAACCCACGGCGGGAAGGTTCTCTGCTGAACCCACGGCGGGAACGTTCTCTGCTGAACCCACGGCGGGAACGTTCTCTGCTGAACCCACAGCGGGAACGTTCTCTGCTGAACCCACAGCGGGATCGTTCTCTGCTGAACCCACAGCGGGAACGTTCTCTGCTGAACCCACAGCGGGAACGTTCTCTGCTGAACCCACGGCGGGAACGTTCTCTGCTGAACCCACAGCGGGAACGTTCTCTGCTGAACCCACGGCGGGAACATTCTCTGCTGAACCGACAGCGGGAACGTTCTCTGTTTAAGTTCAATGTTATGAGGAAATTCTACAACTTTCCATCAAATTCAAACTGATTTTCTCTCAGGCCTGCAGATTTTTGTTGTTTCATGTGTTTGATGGATTATTAAAGATGACAATGTTTCTGGAGGTGCAGTTGGGTTCCTTATTTTAAAACAACAGGTCAGTTCACCAGCAGACAGAGGTCCCTGAACGCACCATGTCAGACTTCTCCTCAGTCCAGCTGTGAACGTTCAGTGAACACACCCAGCTGGACTTCACACCAGAAACACTTAAGACACTTGTTGCAGCTGGAGACCATTTTTAAAAGGTTCTGCTGCTTCTGAGGGATACAAACACTAAACAGGGACGAAGATGGGACACGACATAATGTGCATTTATTACTGCAGGCTGATGTTGAGAAAGAGGCTTCAGATCTTATCTCATGTTATCTCTGGTTTTTATGAACACATTAGGATTTTTGTCAAAGTCTAAGCAGCTTTAAGACTCGACATGGAGACGAAGACAGAAAACGTCTCGGTCTGTTTCAAAACATCAATATTTTTCATTTCTAGCTTGAATTTCAAAATACAAGCAAAACCTGAAGGAATCTGCTTCAACGTTTCAATTTGTAGAGTAAATTATGCATAGATTTTTCTTTTGTTTTTCATTGTTCCTGCATGAACAGAATCACTAACCTCAGAAATGAGCAACAGAGAAATGTGACTGATGAATGCTGATATGATACGTCAGTTTTGTGTGAATGAGACGATTTAAACTGAGGATCAGAGGAAATCAAACAATAAAACAGACAAAAGAAACATAATTCACTGTAAATACATCACAACCTGGAGGCAAAACAATTCAAAGAAAGCAGAAATTTATGAAAGGAAACGTTTCATGTCAAAGTTGATGCAGGGAATGATGACAGAATCAAAACGTTTTGGTCATAATTATCCATTTTAATTACTTTTGAAATAAGTTGAAGGCTTTTCTGAGATTCGTTTATGTCTGTTTAATAAAGTACTGTCCCTTTAATTTCCTTCTTATCTTTGTGTCTTCATTTCTCAGTAAGAGTCTCATAAAAAATGTTTTCATTGTCATGAAATATGTTTCTGTTTCACTCTTCAGGTTGGTGTCAGTGTTGACTTGGACTCTGTTCTGTTAAAGATGATCCGGTGTTCAAACAGAAACCGTCTTTGTTCCGGCCAGAACCAGAGGAGGAAGATTAACTGTGACGTT